CGAAAAGGAAGCCTTTACCACTACTGACGCTACTACGGAGTCCTCCTGCTGGGATTTGAATCTCGGTGGACCGCTCGTGCAGCAAGGACCGCAGATTGTGTTGCAGGGCGTCAAACTGGATGCCTTTTGCTCCACGCCGAGCCAGACAGAGGTCCCCATCTCGACATGACCTTGTTAGTGCTCGTTCAAGTAGGAGCTGTACGAATCAGTACAGCTCACCTCTGTCCTCCCACCTGTCGTCCCTCCAAGCCGACTAGTGGACTAGCATGGCATGAACCCGCGGCGAACGATGCAGACTCGAGTGGTCAAGTGCCACCAGTCCTTACTTTTGCGCTGCCAGCATATTAACAAACGCTCCATGGCTGAATATCATGAGGGTTCCCTCCTCCTCCCCGGGGAAGCATGCCGCAATATCATTGATAGTTGCCAGCAAGACTGAAGATGGCAACCCTCATTTTACCCCGCGCTGTTCTTGGGGGTCTTATGCACGTGCAATCAAAGGTAAAATCCCTGAAGCGTTCGATATCTGATAGATGCTACATACTACGAGCAGTGGCAGGATGGATGAGACGCGGGCTGTGGTGAAGCATGTGATTTCCTGTTATCAGCTCCCTCTCTTTTGTTGGAGGTTGGGTGATTTACAGTAAACGAGCTCTGGGCGCCACATTGCGGAGCAGCAAGATGCAGATGCAGGGCGACCAAGACTAAAACAACCGCTACACATTGCTAGATGTGACAACATCCCCACGAGGGAGGAGACAGAGACAAAGATAGGTAAGGAGTACATTCCCAGTAGACCAGATGGGATGGAGTAGAGGTACGAAGTCTGAGGATAAGTTGGAAACCCCTGGCGCCAATGGAACCGATACATGGAGCAAAGCCAAGAGAGAAAAGCCCCTCCTCCGTAGCTTGTGCGCCATGTTACGGGGTAAAAAACCAGGTGGGGAAGGGAGGGAAGGATTGAAGACGCCATCGACCGTTTCTGTTGGCTGGCCGGCTGGTGGCTAGGGTGGTGGCTAGGGTGGCAGCGAGATGGACGAGATGCACGACAAAGGCGCAATGGTGGTTGCATTTCGTGGCTTGACCGGGGGGAACTCCTCGTCGTCGTCGTCGTCGTCGTTGCAGCAGCTTGTCGAACCACGAGACCCCATCCCTGGGCTGATATTGCAGACTTGGTAGATATTGGACATTCAGCCACTCGATTGACATAGATTGAGGTCTCATGAGATTGGATGATCCGGAGCTCGGCCGGCGCTTTGGCAAGACATTTCGGACTTGCATGCTGATCACTAACAAAGCTCTACAACGCTTGTGTGTATTCAGTACTCCAACGACAATCCACGACCCGAGTAAACGGGTCTCGCATCAGCGAATTCTCTAGGAGCTGCCTCCGGCTGGTGGATCAAGCTCCAGGAGAGGAGGATTATCTCCACGGATTGAGAATCTCCTCCGCGTCTCCTCACAACTCTCTTTCTCCCCTCTGGCCATCCGGGTCCCAGTTGGAGCTTCCGTTCCCCAGGGGGTGTACAAAAATAGAGGAGGGGGAGAAAGCTCCCACAACAAGAGCATCTCGCCCAATCGTTGGACCTGGACATCTTTGTTGGATGGGCTGCCACTTCATTTGATTGGGGAGATCTTTTGGATGGCACCGTATCCACCAGCAACGAACCCAAGCCAGGCCGTCCATCCATAGCCCCTCTTCGACACGGCATGACAAAGACGAGAGACGTGTGAACGAGCGAGCGAACGAGTGGGTTTGGCTGGCTTTGCTTGCCATGTCTGCCTGCGTGCTGCATCCTCTCTCAGCCTTTCCCACTCACACACTTCTTCCAAACCCTCCCACTCACACCCCCGAACGAACTGCTACTACTGTTACTACACGACTCGGTGTGGATATGGTAATACCAAACCGCTGCTAGCTTCCTGCGTCGTTGCCTTGGAATCTGCGGCTTGTAGAACTCCTTGTGCCGCGCGACCCAATCTCCCTTACATTGGTTCGCGGCATGCGGCAATGGAGATAAGTCTGGAAGGACGGTGTGATGGCTGCTGCGTGATGCGGAAAGGGACCTCGCCATCGTGCCGGGAGGCGTTTCTCTTTTCATCTAATTGTGTCCCTCCTGCTCTCGCCACAGGGGTCCAGTCCATTCCATTGCATTGCGTGTCGGAGGCAAAAAGAAGACGACGAGGAAGACGTTCGTTTTCATGGCGTTGATGAGTGTGTTGATGAGCTTCTTGCTTCTTGATCCTTCTCCCTCCTTCCCACCCTCTCCTCCATCACGAAGAGAAGGACGGAGGAGGTGGGCTTGGATTGCTAATGTGCGTTCCATGTTGCTGTGCCATCCATCTCGAGCAGCCAGAATACGTCTTCCCTCCTGCTTCGCTACTACTCCCATACATTCATACGTACTCACACTTACACGTACATACCTGCTCAAGTCCAAGGGTCAGCTGCCTCCATATCCCCCGCAGGTCTCATGGGTTAAAGTGCTAGCAGCGTACGTCCAAAGGTGGTCGTGTCGAGATGGATAATTCACGTGCCTACCGTTTGCATGCATGGGCAACGGCGACTATCGATGCTCTGCTGATGCTCGCCATACCCGCGCGCGCATGTGCTTGCTGCCGGTCACAGGTATGAGTACATCGTACCAGCTCATACATGTCACTCCGAGCAAGTCATCTCGTCCAAGCTACATGGCATGGCATCGCATGGCATGGCATGAGCATGGTCTGGCGGAGCGGATGCCGCCCGAGCTCAGATCCTTGCGTCCATGTCAGCCCTCGCCAAGGCAAGGTCTCTCTCGTCGGACTCCCACAAGTGTGATACATACAGTACATGCATGCAAACGCCTGCTCGCTCTTATCGGGTCGGCACACACACGAGTGGTTCTGCTGAGCTGCGCATGGCTGGAAGCGCCGACACGTTCAAAAGCCCGCAGTCCGACTGTGCGTCTCTCGGGTCGGGGAGACATGCATCCATGCCCATACATGCTCATACATGGCATGATACACGAGACAGACGTGCTTGCGAACCCCTCCAAGTGCTCGCATTCACAGTGGTGTCGACGTCGGGAGGGTACTTGTGTGTACAGCCAGCTTTCGCAGGCGCAAACCGCATCCCGTGCCTCAATCTCGTTGATCCTTCGCACACCGGCCCCAGTTTGGTGGTACTCACTTGTACACATACCGGTACCACCACCAACTCAACTCCTCCCACAAGTCCGGCGGCAGAGGTATCGTGAGGTGGGGCAGCCGGCCACGGGAGTTTGTGGGTACGGATCGCTCCGACTTGCATGGCCGCGGCTTTGGGCTTTGGGCCTCTGTCGGATGTCTTCAACGTCGGCTAGAGGCATACTCGTACATGGCCTGAACGGCCGACGGGATGCAAGTGATATGTGCCTCTTGGGCATTGATGCCAGATGCCCATCTCGCACATAGGTGAGATATAATGTCTCGGTGGTACCGAGTACTTGCACAACATGGAATGGTCTCGGAGCGACAGCCGGGGCTTGCTTGCTGGTGATAGATAAGCCGTCCGAGGGTCGGAGATTTTGTGCGGCGGCCTTCTCCTGCTATCGGAAGTGGATGTGCCGTGCGCGGAGATGAGTGAGCAACGGATTCAGTCAGATGCGAGGTGCCATGGACTGGCTCTGCCGAGTGAGGATATTCAAGCAGAGTCATTTCGGAAGAACGACATTAGGAGACGGGATACCAAACAAATTGGAAAGATTCACCTGTTCCTTGGCATGCCAATTCAGCTCTTCGAATCTTCAGCCCAAGCAGCCTCTCCTTTTGGGGCTTGTCCGCCGCAGGAGCTGGTTGGTGCGTTAGTCCCAACATATTCCATCTCTGGAATCGACAGAAGAGCTAACACCCCCTGCTTAGCGTCCATGGCAGCCTCACAAGGGGCAAAGATTTCGATCGAACCATGGCCGTGAAACTCGCTAAGCCAGCGGCCCCCGGCTCAGTTGCTGAGACGAGAGGGCGTTTGTTTGTTTCTTGAGACGACGAAATTGCAAATTCCAGCTCCAATGATAGTATCCAACTCTGGCTTCGCCGACTACCTTGCACGGCACGTAGGGAGCAGCTACCGGGGGGAGGGGCTGATTTGCAGCGGCAATGCGACGTGAGGTATCACAATCACAGGAGATTGAGCCAAGAGGGAAAAAAAAAGGGAGAGGAAGATAGAGGAGAAAGGGTAGAAACAGCCTTTGGGTCCGGTTTCAGGTGGCGTGCATCGACGCACCCGAGTCCTTTTACCAGGCGTCCAGAGAACCATGTAATGGCATGATAGTAGGGAAGCAAGTACTTCTAAAACTTCGTACAGCAAGCCTTCTTCTGCTCATTATCACCTGAAGAGGGAACGCTGGGAAATTTTTTACTGTCCCGTCTCTCTGCGGCCTGGATGTCGGTGAGCCCATGGCCAAAGCTGGAGGAATGTGGCTGCAAGGTTTACGGTGCGGCCAGCGCTAAACACCAAGCCGATGATAGCGTCGCCGCGGAGCTTCGCCACCGGGTCGGTAGCCCATTCTATCCGGCGGCGTTGAGGTTGATGCCATTCGGGACTCGATTTGGAAGTAGTTTCGCGGCGTCGTCGTTGTTGTCGTTCGCTGTGCCTGGCCCGGGGCTTCCTGTTCTTCCTTTTCTTCCTCGGTCTAGCCGCTCACAGCTCTGGCTCGGGCGTGCCTCAGGCGGTGACTCAGATGGCTTGCGAATTGCACAACAAGCATCACGACATCTTCCCCTGGTGGCCTTCCAGACAACAGCTTCGTGGGCAGGTGCCAGCATCGTGCTTGTGCCCTGTTTGCTTACACTACCATGTGAAAGCCGCTCCCTTTGGTGGATCGTGTTAGGGAGATACGAGGGCGGCGGCTGGTGTCGCCGACTTCTGCAGTTGTCCCTACGTATCAGAAACTTGTCGTGCTCCCCTCCCACCTCCGCACCCATGCCAGCATAGAGTGGTCCAGTTCTAATTTTTCCTCGCTTACTGTTGGCTGGTGGAGATGCGGCTGCAAGGCGTGAAACTAGTCATCGTCTTGCCCGCTGCCTTCGCTGCACGGACAAAGCTTGCATCGGATTGTGTGTATGTTGGTAGGTATATGTACTTCGTATAATCGACTGTATACGTGCGAAGTAGGTCAGGTATGCAACAAGGAATATGTACGAGGACGACGACGACACCGGTAGTGTGACCTACCGACCTATTACTCATACGACCTTGAGGGCAGCCCTCGAGAGGATGACTTGCAGTGCCAGTGACCCGAGCTGCTGTTGTGCCTTTTCAGATGGGAACCATTGTTCAAACTGACTCGCTGGCGAGCAAGCACTGCAACGCGCTGCAACGCTACGCCGTGATAGTGGTACATCTGGCCGACGAACGCGGAGGAGGGCAAGGAGGAGACGCTGCTGCTTGTTGGGGATGGTCTCACCATGCTATGCCCTGCCACCCTCCCGCTTACAACGCCGTGCAGATGCTGTGAGGACTGGCTGGCAGAGCTACAAGGCCAATCTCTGGACGTGGGAGCAGGGCCCTTGGGCGCCTAAGAGCAAACGAGTGGCCACAAGTGAATCCCGTCTCCGCGATCTTGACGACGAGGTCGTGGCGGGCGGCAAAGGCTGAGCGCTCTTTGTGTGCTTGGGCCGCTAGCCGGCGAGATTGGCCAAGACAAGCTCCCGTCATCTATCTTGTACACCATCAGCAACTGCCCATGTCCGGAGTACGAGGACAGTAGGTGGTAATATGAAGCCGAGTAAGCGTGGATTACACGGGCTGCAAAGTACTTGCATGCTGGTCATATGTAATGCCATGCCAGTCAGCCCTCGGGCTCGAACGCCGCCGTGTGAGTGCGGATAAGTCAGGCAAGGCAGGTGCTTGATATGTAGGTGCGGTGTTTTAAGCATGCGGAGATGTGCGTTTGCCCGTGGTCAGGCGCTTCGACAGAGTGAGTGACGCCTGTCGCTAGCATCATGTACGGAGCACAGGCGTCATGTAGGAGCATGTACGGCGCATGTACGAGGCAGGTAGACGACTTTCGAGATGCGAGATGATGTGCTGGGCAGCAGTAAAGGGCTTGGAACCTCAGCTCAGCTCCAGGCAAGCATCTAACTATTATCTGTATGCATTTCTGCCCGTTTGTCGATAGCAAGATCCAGCCGCATGCGAATGGTGTGCATGCCAAGCAGGAGTTCCCACGGGTCTTTTTTCTGTACTCCATATGCCTGTATTACATGTATCTACTACTACAAGAAAGGGAAAGGGAATCTTAGTACTAGTACAGGACGTTAGCCGAGCAGGCAATTACTCGTAGGTAATGGCTTTCGAGACGACGTGCTTCGAGCCTCGAGCTCCAGGCTCTGGGCTGCGTACAGGTACTTTTGCTGCGGGCTGCTGGCATTCAGTTGCTGGTACCGGTACAATGAATCACACGCAGCAGCGGGTAGCAGTGGCACGGCACGGGAGCGTGCAACTGGAGATGATGGGGATTGCTGGGGATGATGGGGATGGTCGATATCGAGCAGCAAGGATCTGTGTCAAGAAGGTTTTGGCCGTCGTTGAGATTCAGTGTATCAAAGCCAAGGCTGGCGTCTGCTAGCGCTGGCGAGACCGACAAGCCACCCCTGGTACTATCAGTGGCCCGTGCATGTGGCTTGCCCTGGCCCCACCAGCGGGAACTGGGAGCCCGACAATTGGTCTGTGCGCGCCCGTCCTTATCTCTTGGCGCGCTGACAAAGCCCAGTGTGGCTGACGATGGAGAAGCTTGTGCCTTGGAAAGCACCGCCTTGTGGGTACGGGGTACGTACCGCCTCGGGGGAGGAGAAGAGAATGGGAAAAATTAAGGTCAGAAGAAAATTGGAGATGGAGGGGTTCAAGATGCACGCCCTCTTCAGCTGCGACTCGATTCGATCGTGATGGCCTCTCGCGCCCATCCCGTTCATTGGTCGTGGTGTTTTCTGTTATTCACGCTGGACCTGCTATTTGCCTCATCCGATAAAAGGACGCTCCAATGCCGCGCTCTCGACGGAACACCTCCGGCCAACGGTCGCTGCCTGACTCGAGTCAAAGCCATCATCACACAGCCGTGCCGTGCCGCAGACAGGCAGGCAGACAGAGAGACGAGACAGATGCAGATGCTACGGGAGAGCTGCCTACTCTCGGATAGCTCTGGACACAGCTCGCATGCGCGTCAAGCCCGAGCCGGCCATGCCTCGACAGCAATTGGAGCCAATTGAGCCCGAACCAGCTCCATCCTTGGGCGCGCAGGCATTGCAGCGCCGCAGCAGAAGCAGCGCAGAGCAAGACATGCACTCGCTAAAGGAGCTGCATTCTCTGCATTGGGAAGCATGACGAGCCCGAGTTCGACAGCCTGGGGAAGGCCTTTCGGTCCGTCGTGGGGAAGATGCGAGTTGGGCTCCGGGGGAGGGGACGCTGGCCTTTCTCTGCATCGTTCTGGAGAGCCGTCAGCTGTTCCTCGTGAGATGTGAGCCAGATGGATGGACTGACCGGCTGGCTCTCGAGGGGCCCGGATCCGGGGCGGACACCCGAGCAGACGGGCTCACCACTTCGGCGTCTCAGGGAAGATGCTAGTTCGCTCGATCTACTCCGCAGCAACCCAGCGTCCCTTCCGGCGCCTCCCACTTTTATTTTCTCTGGGAGAGAGAAAGAAGAACACAGAGGGACAGAGAAGACAGCCATCTAATACGCCAGATACATACGAGTGCACCAGACGAACCGCAGGTCGCAACAGAGACAAAGATACCCATGGTGAAACAGGAAGGCCACGCCGCGGAATGCATCGCGGCGTTGCCTCGCCCATGGCCTGATTGGAGGGCGCTGACTGAGCGAGCCTCAGCAACGTCATCATCTCGACATCTAACAGCTAACCCGAGCCTGGCCACTGCCAATCAGCAGCCGAGAATCGTCGGCATGGACCTGCTCTGGCGAGAGAACAGGGGTATGATATTCAACGGACCACAGCGTCGGGCGCCACACCAGGACCGGGTCTGATGCCGGAGAGTCCACTCCATCCATCCTCGTCCGCTTGCTCGCTGCTTGCTGCTAGTAGTGGTATTTCCAGCCCGTGCCATGCCATGCCATGGATGCCAATCCAGCCCATGTCATTCAACCAAAGCTTCCCCCCTTGCGCCAAAAGACAAAAATTCTCCTTCGAAAAGCCTACCGGTGTGTGCGTGGGCTTTTTGGGAGCTGGATGGGCAGACTCGCAGCAAACCGTCGCAGAAACCGGCAGCCGTTTCTGTCTTTGCTTTTCGATTTGGTATTCCCCCTCGATTCTGTTTCTCCATTCTGCTGCAGGGCCTCGCAGCACAGGGCAAGGAATCAATTGGGAGGGAAAAGAGGGCCTAGGAATGGAGCGAGAGAATTACTACGAGACGACAGCTACAAGCTGCCGGGAGTGGGAGGTAGCAGTACTCGTACTTGTACGGAGCGACATGCGATGCACGGAGCCTGCAGTGCAAGGCTGCAAGCAAGAAAAATACCCTGAACGCCTTTTGTCCCCCAGTCGCCCCCTTCAATGCCATTCGGCTGGCCTGTGAGCCAACAAGGGCTCGAGTCTGCCACAAAAATTGCAAATTTCATCTGTCTGGCAAGCTCCATTGATGCTTTGATTACAAGGCAAAGCCGCGCTGGTCTTTGTTTCTTCTTGCGAATGAAACACGCATCTGAATGGAAACCATCCGCATGGGCACATCAGACGGCATTCGTACGCTACGGCTACAGGTGAGTACCCGTAATAAGCTCGAGCTTGTTTGGCAAGTCGTGAGTATTCCGCGCAATGGCACTCAGGTCCCTGCACGTAGCTGTACATTTCACAACGAGTCGCAGCAGCATCCCCAACTGCGTAAGCAGACAACCTTGAGGCCTAGGGAGCTCCAAAAGGGCAGTGTTTTGCACGAGGCTAATTCTCCTCGGAGCTGGCGAGATGCTCGCAAGAGCGAGCACCAGTACTGCAGCCAGTATACCCGAACATTACCGCCAGTGCCAGGGAGCCGGACAAGCTGATGCTAACATGAACCGGCAGCCTCAGTTGTCGTCTCCATGGCCCTATCCGGCTTCACCGGTTATCCGTGTGGCCACGAGGGAGACCGAAGAATGGGAGCAGAAGAAGCTAAGGAACTAGCTGGGCGGATGGAGAAGTGACCCAAGTACTTCGTATGACGGACTACGGACTACATATTACGATACTGCACGACTACCGGTGTTTGTCATACCCGAACTGCTGCTGCTTCTGGGCAAAGAACCAGAAGAAAAGACGGAAGTACGTTCGTGGCTGACGCAATTCGAGATCAAGCGAGGACGATGACAGATGAGATGAGATGCTGAGATTGCTGCCAGCAGATTGCGCTATCGACTTGGTGCTGTGGACATTAATCACATCGTGGGCGACCCTCGATCCATGTGACATCGATATCAGCCCACGGGACTTGCACAATCGGCACGCTGATGATAAAAGACGTGAGTAGAAAGAAGGCCACAATCACGTCCTCGTACTATCCATGACAACTAGCAATAAAAGTCGCATTGTTATCAGGCGACGCCACAAGCGGCACTTCCATTTTGGGTCTGACGCCTTTTTTTGCCCTTTTTTCTTTCTTCCCTTGCCTTGTATGTCTCGGCGGCCGCTTATCTGAGCGGAGTGGGAGAGACGCAGAGACGAGAGACATCAGAAACTGTTCTAAAAAAAGGCGACGGCGTCTTTTACCAGCCATGACGATGACAGACCGAGCCTTTTTAATTGTCACTTGTGGTATGTGGAATGAACCTAACACGACAAGACGGGATAAGAACGAAAACAAAGTGCTGCCCTCTCCGGTAACTCGCAAACGCCCGTAGATGCCGCCAGCTGTGGCTCCCCCCGGCGAGCCTCGACGAATGAGTAATTCGTCCTCTTCCGTCCTCTTCCCTTGTGCTCCATTACTGCCATCCTCTCTTTGGCGCTGGATGGGACAAGTATGTAACACTGCATCTGTTATCATTCGCCTCTTGCCGCCGTGTCGTTCATCGATGTGAGTCTGTCAATCTATCTTGGGGGCGGCTTTCACCCTCCCCTTCTGATGTAAATCCTGCGGCTCCGAGGAAAGGGCTTTCCCAACGCATACATACCGGTTGCTCCGTGTCCGTAGGTTACGGAGTTCCTCCATTGATTCATACATGTACTCCATGTCTGCTTGGATTGGTCATTGCATTTCCATACTGCTAGGCTTCTTCCCTTGTCCGGGGCAGGACGGTGATGGCACGGGGTGCGCAGGTTGAGTGCATTAGCACAGGCAGATTGAAATGCTGCTAGTAGTACTTCCTCGTTCTTGTACCAGTACAGATAGGTGCCCGCTGCCATGTACATACATTGCATTGGTCTCTGTATGGAGTACATACATGGCTCGTACATGTGCATTGAGACGAGACGACACATGATTGAGGACATCAGACACGGCAGGGCAAGCCAAAGGCGCAGTGCAGAGCGCAGAGCGCGTATGTCGAGTTTGGGTGGCTAGCAGCATCAGAACGGCGCTTTTGCACGCAGGCTGCCGGCCTACTCCGCAAACTTGGGCGGGCATCCATGAGACGCGCGACCTCACCACCGCAGCAGCTTGCTCTATTGGTATGAATATAGTGATACTACTAGGAGTCTTAATTTGTTGTTGCATCAGGCTGCATTGCTTCTGCTGAGCTCTTCTTCGTTGGCCGTCGGACGTCCTCCCTCGCAACTTCACAAGCCCAAATCCAAGCTCCCCTCTCCGGCACCCGGCTGCGGGAGGGGGAAAGGATGCAACGCCGCACCGTACTGTAGGACTCTGGCACACGACCTTGTCCGTCTGTGTAGGAGTAGGTACTCGTAAACGGAGCTCGTCTGTATTGTCAGTGCGTGTGGTGCATGCGTGCATGCATTCTGGCCTCTTTTCATCGGTTTTCATTTCCCTCTTTTTCGCCTCTTCCAGTGGCTCAGTGGCTCAGTCGCTCATTATCTGTCGTTCATTTGCCGCCCTGTTACAAGATATTATTTGGTGCATGTTGATATCGGATTCGCTCAAGAGTGAGGGGCGGCATGGACAAAAAGGGGGGGTGTCTTCATATCATACATGCGCTGCGAAATGGGAACCACAACACAACAAGTGCGAGTTGCTCCATCGCCAGTCGAGATGGGAGAGATGGAGCTAGCACAGGAGCCCCGTCCGTTTGAAGATCCAAAGCAAACTCCTCCTTGAAGCCCATCGGTTCAACGTAGCTGCGAGATTGCACGAGATGTGTTAGACTCGAAACAGACGACGCATGGCTTCCTGACCTTGACCTTGGGCCGCTGGATGCTACTGTACATCCATCTACAGGCACACACAAAAACTTTTCTGCACCAAGGCTAGGCACCGCGATGGGGCTGCTGAGTGTTTGTTGGTGCTCCTCTTGCCGGCCGGGGTTCAGGTAGGCGGTTGAGCTGTTGCTTCGGCTCGCCCATTTGTCGTCCTTGTCCACTCCCCTCCCCTGTTGGCCGCCTATCTCGAGGCCCCTCTCTCAGGGATGAAGGTTGCTGGGGCTAAGGACAGGCCACCCTCCAAGCCGATCGACGGCGGCCCACCATCTCAAGCCATCGAACCAGTGTGGCAGCAGCCCTCTGGAGACTTCTCGTTTCCTTCTGGCTGCCGGCCGGCTGGTTTGGGGATGGAATAGTGCCTCTTGAGCGGAACGGAGGACAGGCCAGAGTGCAGGACCTTTATTAGCATGTATGGGACTTGTACTTGTAAAAGTAAGGCGGTGCTGGGGCGGGACAAGGGTTCGGTTTATACCCGCCGCCCATTGCTTCGTATGTACAGCCAGCCAAGGACGGCGGCGAGATGACAAGATTCGAGATGGGACTCAGGTCGACTTCCACCCTCTCGCACCCCCTGTCTCTGCCGCTAGTTCCAACCAGCCAAGTTTTGCAATCCCCCATCCTCATGCAGCCTAGAGCAGGGCAGGTCCAAGGTCTCAGTGCAGCGGACAGGCCTGTAATACACCCAAGTACAAGTACTGCAACCTGGATCCGGGCCCGAGCCTTCCACTAGCAGGTACCTGTACGATGGCGCTGCTCTAGCCTCTTGATTTTTTCCTTTCCCTTTTCCGCCATTATTCGCCTCTGGGTCCCATTTGGGCGCCGGTACTTGCTGCGCTTGCGTTGCCTTGGTACGACCTCAGAGCGCAGCTCAGCGGTACGTATCGCCCGTCTCACGCAGCCAAAACCAGCCTCTCCCCACCTCCTCCGTCTTCAACTTCCCTATCTCCTCCCATTTTCCTCATCTTCATCGGCATCACCAACCGGGCCGCCTCTTCCTTCTTCTTCCTCCTCCTCCTTCTGCTTGCAAAAGGGTTTTTTAACTCCATCCTCACCTTACCAGCCCAGTCCACGACGTCCTGCCCGCCTCCAGTCAGTGGAATCAGAGGACCAGACCAGACCACACAACAGACCTCCTCTCCGTCATTTCCGTGCCGTCGTCGAATCTCCTCCGCCATCATCGCCGTTCTTGCCGTGCATCGTCAATTTTCTTCTCCCTTCTTCTCGAGCATCTCCACAACCCGTCTCGAGCTTCAACCACGTCTTTGCTGCGTCATCGTGCAAGGATTGTCTCTGCTCCGTGTCTCTCACCCTTCTCTGCCCGACTCGACACCGTTGGAAACCGAGCCGGCCCATATCAATCCGTCAGGCTCAGCCCCCGTCTGGCGATCTTAAGCACTTCGACTCTCCGCATTTCGAGCTCTTCGAGCTTTCACAGCTTGCACCTCACAGTCCTCTTCTCGGTTGCTGGAATATTGCCCGAGCTTGAGACCGTGTCGTTGCTTCCTGTGCACTCCGGAGACTTTTTCTAGCTGTAAGTGGCGCCATTGAGTTTACTTTCCAGCATAGCCCCAGCCATGGCAGTGGAAGGATTGGACATGAAAACCTTGTTTATCATCTCTCGTGTGTTTTTCATCTTGACAAGCTCCATTTCACAACTCTTCCACACCGTTTCTTCATTTTCCGCCAGTGCCTAGATGAACCCTCTTCCTTACAAACAACCGCCGCTCCACGGTCTGCTTATGGATATCACTCTGGTCGCTCTGAAAGTCATGCGCTATTCCCCCTCCACTCAACCCCCTGTCCAAAACCTCGAATCATCGACTACAATTCTCTGATCTCGACGACCACGTGCTGACAGCGTACTTTCCCGGCTTCCAGATCATCCCACCTAGATACTAGCTTCCCTGTCGCTACTCTTGTTCCATCTCGTCGGTTACCTTGAGGCCCGACAACCACCCCTGGTCCCTTTTTCCCCGTCCTATGATATAATCGAAACAAGAGTGCAAATCATCAGCTCTTAGCAACGGCCCATTTTGACCGCCGTTGAAGAATCATTTGCAGCATCTCTCTTTTACTACCGGGATCACGCTATCGTTATTCATCTCTCTTCCTCCAGCAGTACCCCAACAAAGGTCCTGGGAATGCCTTACACGCCGCCCTCTCACCGATCTCCCGCCTCCTCAGCGACAGTTTCTCCAGATGTGAGCCGGCGTTCATCAATCACCTCCGGCCAGAAGCCGTCGCTGCCTCGCTCTGCCTCATACCTCAACAAGAACCGCCGAACGCCCTCTGCACCTCCGTCCACTGAGGCTCACTCCACGCCGTCTCCGCCCTATGGCTCCTCCGACGAGGTCAAGAACGCCGGCGCAGCCCCTCCTGTGAGTGCCAGCCTGCGCAAGTCGCCGCCGCCAGTTACGGACGACCGCGGGATCCCGAATGCAGCCATCATCTCGCCGCCCGACTCGGCATCGTCGGATAGCGAGGATGATAGCCGTCCGGAGATCCGGGGGCGCAAGCTGGGGAAGCTCAGGGACGCCGTCAGCCAGATCCCCCAGCCCCGGACACCGTCGCCGCCGAGCAAAGAGTCGAGACTCATCGTCCCTGACGACGAGACTCCTCGGAGCATCGTGCACACCAGCTTCAGCGCCATGAGCCTGAGCGATCTGCCCAAGGCGACGGGGCGCCGGGGCCACGTCCGGTCGGCTACGGATCCCAACGTATCCGCCATCATGACCTCTGCCGAGAACTCGCAGACCGTCTCGGAGGACTCGGAAGACGACATGAGGCCGAAGCCGCCGATGGTGCGCAAGAAGTCGGGCGAGCTGGTGAGGCCGGCGCTGCGAGGGCACAAGCGCCCGTCCAGCGTGCCCGGCACTCCCATGTTCACCAAGGCCGTGCACTTCGACTCGCACCTGGAGCACATCCGCCACTTCCTGCAGGTTGACCGGCCGCTTGCCGTTAGCGCGGGCTCGTCTCCCGTCGAAAACTACGACAGCGAGGCAGAGTATCCCTTCCCTGGCGGCGAGAAGCGGGCCGTTGCGCGATCACCGCCGTTTGACTGGCAGCTCATCACCAACAACTTCCCCCCGGACTCGCCGCAGCGACGCGAGCAGCCCGTCCGCCTGGAAAGGGTCTGGCTGTCTGCCGACCAGAAGTCGATGCTGGGCTCGGTGGCCGTGTCCAACCTGTCGTACCAGAAGTCGGTTGTCTGCCGTTTCACACTCGACTATTGGAAGACAACTTCGGAAGTGGCAGCCGAGTTCACCCATGAGATCCGCCCCCAGACAACTCGTGTCCCCCAAGACCGCTTCACCTTCTCCATCAAGCTGTCGGACACGATCAACCTGGAGATGAAGACGCTGTACTTCTGCATCCGCTACAACGTCAACGGCCAGGAGTACTGGGACAGCAACAACTCGGCCAACTTCCAGGTCGACTTCCGCAAGCAGTTTAAGCCTCAGAACGGTAAGAACAGCTTCCAGGGTGCCGTGTCACGGTCCGCTAGCAACAACTTGCCGCGCAGCAACCGCAAGCAGACGCCTGCAGGTTCCGGCCGGTCCGGACAGATGTCTTTCTCGTTTGAAGATTTTGATAAGAAACCAAAGTTTAAGTTTGACGACCAGCAAATCAACGACTACTTGGGCGAGTCCAACACTCCCGGCCTCCGCCTCAAGACCAAGTCGGCCAGCAATCTGGCCAGCGACAACATCACCAGGGGCCTGGGCCTGACCGCGCCCAGCGGCCTGGCCTTTGCCAACCGTTACGACTTTGGAGCGTCGTTGAGCGCTGCCGTCCAAGCGGCCAAGGACTCCGCGGCCAAGGACAAGGACGCCCTCTATATGAAGAGAAACGTCCGCAACAGCCCGACGCCCATGTCTTTCGGCCCGCCTCTGACGAGCGCACCGCCCGCTCCGGAGCCCAGCAAGCCTGCCGCCGCACCCGCTGCTTCTGCTGCCGCTGCCGCTGCCGCTGCTGCTCCCTCGCCCAATGTTGGCCTTGGCCTCGGCCTCTCCAGCTCTTCCTACGAAGAGCTCGTCAGTAAATACTGCTTTGTACGTACCCCCGGAGATCACTTCAGCGTCCCCCAGCCGCCTCAGCCGCCCGCCGCAGTCTAGTTGTTGGTACAAGGAACTTGCCGCCGTCACAACAGGATTCGAGGGAGGGAGGCTAGGTGGAGAGGAGGGACAATGAAAAAAAAAATGGGTGGAATAGTGTAGCTGACATTTGGCTTTTTCCCTTTTCACAGTTTGGTTCGAAGCAATCGTCCACCACGGCCACGAATGGAGCGACCAAGAGCGAAGAGAACGATGGCGGCAGCCCTGCGTCGGATTCCATGGCGGTTCACCCCCTTCACCACACTGGTCCTGCGGCTCACCACAGCCTACATCAACCTATTGATATGAAGATCAACCGCCCCCTGACCGCCGACTACCTCGCGGCATCGCCCTCGTCTCTCGACTCCGTATCCTCTGTCCTCATCAGCAGAGATCAGTCGTCGACTCCCAAGTCCATGACGCACATGAGGTCGCCATCGCCGTCCTTTTCCACATCTCCCACTGATGCCCCGTTCTTCGCACAGCAGATGGTTCAACAACGATTTCGCTGGCACGGAGAGCCTCATACCGCTACCGCCATCCGGGGCTAGATTGTCTTCGGGAGCGGTTATCGGATGAGATCATCGGCTATATGCAGGATCTTTCTCTGTTGACGGGGGCTTTTTTCTTCAACACTGACGAATTTTATAACGACAAAAAAACACTTGGTTTTGGTTTTGGACAATCGCCACCGCCAACGGGCGTCCTCTGTTTAACACTACGGGGCTCTTACATGATTTGCCTTGTCTTTTCATCTCACTCAAACGGCCCTGAATCAGATTGGGGCTCGTTTTGCAGCCGTCGATTCTACTTTGTTGTTCGCAGCAACAAGCAAGAGCGGGAGTTGTATTTTTCATTTTCCTTTTCTTTTATCCTTTTTTCTACGGTTGTCTGTATTTCTTGGAGTCTGGCCACACACGATGAGGGTTTGTCTTTTTTATCGCTTGGCGCTTACAAGGGCATATGGGAAATTTGGTCTTTGTCTCTTTAGGTTGTTTCTGTTTTCTATTTCTGCGCTCTGGATTCGGTTCATGACGGGTCTTGCGATGGAGTAACCTCACCACTACGGTTCATCTCCTGTGTTTTATCCCCCCCGGGGTTTCCTTTTTGTCCCGCTCTTCTATACGTCTCTCACGGCTCCAGACCGTTATGAACAGGAGGACCAGGCGAATTGATAACGACTTGTCAACGCTCTCATTTGTGTATTTTCAGGGAATGGACTGAAAGGCGGCCGACGGGTTGGTTTTTTCGGTCCAGGTTGCATTGGGCTACTTGTTTACGAGCAGGCGGAGAATGGAAAGGAAAAAGTCGGTTGATAATGGTATTGATTGTTTCGATTTGGTTCTGCAGGCACTCCGGGACTATCAGTGCAACTGCTGCTATAACAAACTACTACACGCAAGAGATCAGACATAAATGAAATTGCCTAGATTACAGATGTTATGCCTAGAGTTCTCGTTTACTGTTTCTCTGTGTCCAATGTGCCGCGACGTGTGTTTGCGTGTGAGTGCATTTGATTGCCTGTCTGCTTCTATGGCAGAAGCGGCCTTTTCACCTGTCGTTCGACGGCCCACCCGGACGCGGCATCTCCCGTCCAGAAGGCGAAAATGAAGGATCCAGAAGGCACAGAAGACCATTACAGCGAAGCCTTAGTCAATCGGCCAGTCAGTCAGCAAGCGGGCGGGCGGGCGAGAGGGCATTGGTCTGGTGGCGGCGAAGTACTCGGCAAGACTTTGCGGGGCGAAGTGCGTGCATAATCACGGAGCATGTTGAACAAACCACGGATGAGGGTTCATTGGGCTGTGTTGTTCGTCGCGCGCCTTTGCGTGTTTGTGTTGCCGTGTTGTGCTTGGTGCTGTATGTCAGAAGTATGCGGCCGCGGGTTTGCATCGGACCATCACATCTCAGCGGGGGGCGTATCAGTTTCCCCTTTCCCATTTGCTGTCTGTTCGAATCCGCTTAGCTGCGTGAGTAAGGCACGTTTTACGCTACTGTACGAAGGAAACAAGAATAAAGAGGGAATTTTGTGCTTATGGAGACGGTCCTTTTCTCGTAATCGTATGAGAAGCCAGGGCAAGGGGGAAAAGAAAAAGGGAACAGGAAAAAGAAAAATGATGGCAAGCGACGTGCATTCGTTGGTGGCATCTGTTTGGGCGGATGTGCATGAGAAAACGGGGAAAAGAGGGAACATGTGTTGAGAGAGGAGTGGCTGTTTTTATAGGCTTGCTTATGTCTTGGTGCCTGACGACGGCCGGGGTCTGCCGCCGCTGCTGTGGGAGGGGCTACCGTTTTTGATATTGTCAGGTTATTTGCGGTAACGGAGGTTGGGGTAGGTTGCATCTGGTCTGGATTGTGTTGTGTTTAGCTAGGGGAGTGTGGTCTTGGATGGAGAATGGAGACGGCGGGTGTTGCAAGGTGCGTGCATCATGGAGGAAACGGTGTAGAGTACTCCGTATAAACGTCTGGGGCTATGGGGGAAAGGGGGCGTGCGTGGATGAGAACGACAACGAAGATAGAGGATCGTTTGAAGGACATGATGGAGTACGATGTATGTATGTCGATACAAGTGCAAGAGCTAGTATAGCAGATGGATTTGGCCTGACTTGACTAACTAAGCGATGAGGGCTTTTGCGCTGGCGATGACGCAGCCGGGGTGTTCTATCCCGTTGTCTTCTATCCGGCGTTGGTTCAGCGGAGCTAGGCCCGTGTCTGTCCTTCCCGTGCTCCGTGCCTCCTCTCCAGCTGCATGGAAATGGAGAAAGGGAAAACGAAGCTATGGTGGAGAGCAAGAGACGGAGGACCCATGGCGCTGTGGAGACTGACAGTTCTCGATTGAGGGTCGTGCATCGTGAACAAGGATCTGGAGGCGTTCCAAGGCCAAGGCTAAGGCACTTACGTGTAAGTGTACGGAGAACCTATCTACAATCGACTTACTATACATACTGCCATCCAGGCCTCTCTTGCCGTGGTGACATTGCAGACTGTCTCCAGACGCGGGACGGCAGAAGAAGCTGGTTTCTGCTGTCTGTACACGAAGTGGAAAGTGTTGAGGATGCAATATCTGGGTGTTAATGCATATGCCAAACGCCCATCACATTGCGTCAACCGCCCAAGAATTCATCGTGAAAGGATGCAGAAGAGGAGAAATACAATTCAGTTACTCCGCGGCCGCGTACTCGTGCATGTCAGTGTCAGCAGGCCGCCGAATTGGAAGTTCTGGAGATGGATGTGGCATACAGGACTTTTCTCCGCCGTGAGCTGGAGTTGTCTTTCTTCGCAGCTGAGCCACTAGATTTCTGCCCTCTTCAATGGTGCGGGACGACCATCCTTGATGCCGATTGGTTTTGTTAATGTTCTCGGGCTCCGGCCAGGGGGCTGTGTGTGTGCCGTTGCAAACGTGCTTGGACTTTTGAAAGAAACAAGAATTGAGCTTTCCATGTTGAATACACCAATCATCATGAGGCCGAGATGGGCAATAATGGAACTTTGCTTGTACTGGGCGCTGTCGAGTTGTTTTTGTAACTCTGTCTGTGCATGCCCTGCCACAACTGCTCCAACGCCGAATGCTACCGTATGCAGAGCAGTCAAAGGATCTCCGAGAGTCAGGTTTGACAAAGGTAGCATACTCGTACAGACAAAAGTGAGTTGAACGGAGACGTACCTTTACCTGCCCAATGACTATGCGTGCGTTACCAAGTTGACAGTATGGAGTATTGCCATATTTGTCAAAGCGAATCGTGCCGTGTTGGCAGAGGGAAACGAGCAAACGCCGCGTACGCCACCGCGATGACGGAGTTGCCGAGTTGACCCATGTGAACTCCAGCTGAAGAGATAATTCAGCCGGTTGAACATATTATGGGTTCCCAGGCGTTTGGAAAGGAGAGGTCCCTTCTCCTGTCAACGCGGAAATAAGCCGCTACTGCCCCTGTCAGAGTCTTGAGGGGCTAGTCCTACGACTATCGCGATCGGAATGAGCCTTATCTACATAGCATGAGCTCCAGCGAGCACGAGTCTTCTCTCTTTTCACGTGCGTGATGAGAACTACCAAACGAGATGAAGATAGTCCACATGTCTCAGTTGAGGATACCGTTGGAGCAAGGGCATTTACTAGGTGACTCAGGTAGCCTATAATGGCGGGAACCTTTGGGGAATCCCTTGGACTTCTCTCTTCTCTCGATATTTTAGACAGCTGCCACCGAGAGCTAGTTTCAGCTGTAGAAGTGCCACTTGAACTCTAACGCTTCAGCTCTGCTCGGGCTTTTCGTCGTTTCGGGCTACCTACTATTCTTTCTCTTTTGCTCCGGAAGCGAAATGTTACTAGAAACAATTTTATAATCGTGAATTCTTGGACTCCATTGCCACGCATTCACTGCGCCCAGCGACTCGAGCCTTGTCGAAACGAACATGTAATCGATTCCGGTCAACGAGTCGCGAATGCTCCGGTTCGAAGAAACACATATTGAAAGATGCGCACAGCTGTTCCAGCGGCGTCAAAGCAAACTCCTACGCTGCAGAGCCGGCCGAGCGACAGTTTGCGCAGCGACGTCCAGCGTAACGAGAGCTTCTCAAGCGAACACTTCAGGCGAAGGAACCAGTTCAAGCGCCTCTTTCTTGCGTGCGCGCTGCGATGGGCTGTAACGGCTGTGCTGGTTGTGGGAGCTTATCTCGTGCTGTGGCAGTATTCGCTGAAGGAGGCCATGGTGACCAGGAAGAAGAAGGAGTTCAATACCTTGATCATTGCGATTTCGATTGCGCTGGGACTGAATATTGCGAGTTCGATGAAGCACATGGTGAGGGAGCTGAGGTGGTGGGTGTTGAGCTGGTATGAGTGGACGCCGAAAGAGGTGAGTGAAGCTGAACAAGGTCTGATCGAACGTCGCAAGGGAACGATTTTGCTCATGATCGTGACCGGTAACAGGCCGATTATATACTGCAGAGCGAAAATTTCAGCAGCCTCTTCCAGCTGGGCTACGTGACGCGTCGGCATTTGGTGAGGTTGTATGTCTTGTTCTGGGTCTTGATCAATGTGGTCAGTTTCTCCCTCCCTTCCCATGTATTCGCAGGATGTAGCTGACGGTGAAAGAGGTATCCAGGCCTCGCAAATAGCCGTCGCGACTCTTGGCCTGACATATAACATCAATCCGGCAGACAATATGACTGTGACAAAGCCCGGAACCGTCGCAGTGCCAGATATGACCCATATCCAGACGAACAAAGTACTGTCGTCCAATTCCCAGGCGATAAGTGCTTTACGATATACGGCGAACAAGTACGTCCTTCGTAACGTGAAGAAATCATGAGTGCAGTAACTGACTCACACATACAGCTATGGCCTCGTTGCCCTCGCCTACGGATATGGCGGAATCAACGAGATTCCCCGGCCCGGCAAGCTCATGGACCCAGACGCTAATCTCATGTACTGCAATCAGAACTCGTGTCAGTACATATTTTACGAGGCAACGCCGGATGATCTGCCGTATTACCAAGCGGTAGCCACGAATCGTTCCATCTCAACTGTAGGGACGTGTAAAGCGTGGAGAGTCTTGGAAGGGGGAGACGGGACTCATCACACCATCACCATTGGGGACGCAAATCGCACCGAGTTTACGATTCCCGCTCTCAACGGAGCGGACCAGACGACCTTTATGGTTAATCCCGATCGAGACACTGGACCAACGTGGGGACATGTGTTTGCATTTGAGGCGTCGGAGACGGATCCGTGGTTCTATAGCTGCAATGTCACCGTAGGAGCAGTCACCAATGTCCAGAATCCGGCACAAGAAGTCGGCGTCAACGTAACCTCGCTTGCCGCCACTGCAATTGCTCTCCAGGGCTACGGCGCTTCGGCCATTGGAGTCAGCACAAACAGCACCCGACACTTTCAGTTCCAGAGCTATCCAGCAGAGTCCTACTATGGAGCGACTCAAGGGGGCAACACGACCGGCATGGGCCAGCTGACGGCGGCCTTTGCGGTTGGGGTTGTCGCCATCACGGCTCAGGTGAACACCAACGTCAACGCTCCGGGAATGCTTCCGCTGAAGGGGATCAAGGTAGACATTAGCCACTGGGTCTTTGTACACTTGATACTGGGCCTGACGGTGGGATTGCAGCTGCTCCTGGTGGTGATCACGGCGGCTGTGGCGAGCAGTGTGACGGTGAGGGATCACAGCTGTGTCAGTTTGGCGGCGGCATTGCAGCCTTTGCTTTCGAAGATGGATTATCGGATGAATTGCGAAAAGAGAATCTTTCAGAGGCTTGGAGATAGGGTGAGAGTGAGCTATGTGAAGGGCAGAGGGGGGATATACTATATAAAGGTGTCTGATTAGAACTACCATGTTAATGATGTACATTTCGCACATACCTAATAATTGTATAAAGAGGTCGATGGCTCCATCGACAATTACGCTATGTCGAGAACGATGATGCGAAATTACGACATGCCAGTGACAGATTGGAAGTGATTCCTTTCATCTTTGTTGACTGCAAACTGGAACGTCATGTCCGCTTGCTTGCTCACGGAATCATCTCGGGGTTTATTATGGAGTAACAGAGAACGGCGTGCAGTTCAGCTTTTACATCATACTCTAGCGACTCAGAAACCTTTCCTATTATGGGAAACAGTACCCTTGTAGTAATCAACTTGCGGCCATCACCCCACAATCAACGCTACCAAATCTCCGGGTTTTCCCCAAGCTCTTACGGAGGTCCGCCTCATGAAGTTGATACGCTAAGCCATCTAAGCCGAGCTCACTCTCAGGCGAAGTCTTACGATGAAGTGCCGTCTTAAAATCTCCTCAGATGCGACGGTTACTCGTGAAACTCTCCTTATACCTTGTCGAGATTGATTCCTCAGCACGAGCATAGGCATACGCACCATGACGGACTCTCTTTCGCTTGTCTTCATAACGGCAACCAATCGGCTTCTTCCCGATGATAAGCATGCCAGGAAGCAGATCCGAAAGCAGGCCATGAGCAGATGTGCCCATGACAGGCGGAAACGAGGCGGATATGGGCAACACAATCTGATACAGTATCCCGTTGGGATGCTGCAAGACGAGGACAGCAGAGAAAGGGATGCGTCGAGAAAGAGTGCCAGTGTTTTCGTGAATCCTGCCATTTCAGCGAACCTCGCAAGTTGTCATTACGAGAAGATGAGGATGCGATACAACTTTGACCTTCTCGACTTGTCTCAGTTGACTTCCTTCCACATCAGCTACGCGACGGCAAGCCGCCTGGCAAACAAACCCACCATGCTGACCGAGGTCCTGGGCGATCGGCATTGGTCGTATCTGAGCTATCTGCCGAGTCGGCTTGGCCATAACAGCGCTTTGGACAAAGCCGCCGCATGTGTGGCTGCTCGAGCACAGCAATGGCTTACTTCTCCTTCTGAACCAGTGTCTTGCGGCATTCTAAAGCTCTACTCGAGTGCCCTGAAGGCCCTGCAGGCCGAGTTACAGAATCCTAAAGCATGTCTTCAGCCGGATGTGCTGTGTGCTACAGCGTTACTTGGGGTATACGAGGTAAGAGTTCTATGGCGCGACTTCTGGTCTGATTAGTCGTCTCACGAGGTTTCCAGCTCCTGAAGATGTCGACCGAAGATGCCTGGAACTATCACTCCACAGGAGCAGGTGCGTTGATAAAGCTCCGTGGCCCTGGCCGCTGCGAGAGCGACTTTGAGAAAGCATTGCTCCTATCCCATGTTGGCCAAATCGTAAGCCTCAGTCTCTCGATAAATTCGTCTGGAGTATGTGATTGCTCAAAAACAGACCTAGTTTCACGAGGCCCTCAATGCCAACGAGGGCTGCTTCTTAGCCGACGACGCTTGGCAGGCAGCATTGTTCTCCATCCCCACAGACGATAGCCTCTTCTCCGATCGGAGTGAGCCGATTGTCTCCCTTTTGACCAACGTATGCCACGTTCCCGAGTATTTCCAGAAGACTTCGGAAATCGTCTGCATCACTCGGGACAATACCCCAGACTCCCTAGTCGAGCACGTTGAGAGCAAACTGTATCACCTGCGTCAGTCGATTCTGCTCTGGCATGAGAAGTACTTCGGGCCAAACACAGCGGATTGTGCCACCATGCGTATAAACCAAGATAGGCAGCATGAAGCGCTTGGTTTCAGTTTCGCAGTGTCCATTCTTCTGAACCGCTTGCTCTTCTGCTTGGATCCGGTACGAAATGCCTCTTGTGAGGAGACGGCAGAGGAATTTGCTTCCAAGATACTGCTCATTGAAAAGGAGGGGCTGTCGACTGCTTCCCAAGCAGAGCTTTTTATGGCGATCAAGCTCGGCGTTGCGAGAACGACACTTACCACGGCAGCTAGATGGCGGGAATGGTATATGGAGAGCACACAACCTGAATCCCCAAGTGCATCACATATTCTGCCAAGTGTGATCTTTGTCGACTGGTGCCAGAGAATGGGATGGAAGATTCCTCGACCAGTTTCGAGAGAGTGAAACTTTGGAATCGGATACTTATGAGAGCATTTGTTAATAATACGGCATTCATCTTCGCTGTAGTTGTATCCAATAGGCTTTTCCACTTGACTCTGCTTAGGAATATCTCTTAGAGTGGCGCGTATAAGCTCCATCATCGTCAAGCAGTTCAACTCTATTCCAACCTGACCTCAAGCCCCTGCCGGGGTACTGGTCCCCCGAACGAGTCTAGTGGCCGCACTCGATGCCGCCTCCGCTCCGCAGAATGAGAACCGCTTGCGTTTCCCGAAAGCGTGACAAGGGTACTGATTTCTACGCAGGGCTTAGCGTCTTCGGTATCATCTCGCATTCTCCTTCGCGGCTCTTGATCCTTCAACGCCCGACGGGTAGCAGCCGGTGATGCCATCGACCAGAAGTGAACAACAGTTGACATTGAGTGGGTGTGTAATCATGCGAGCTTCGCGAGTAGGATCCAGATTTGTCATGAGATGGATATTGACGTAGGCTATGCGTTGAAGTACCTCGAATTGTTGGACATGAAACATCTCGAGATGGCGTATATAAGACCGAGAAACCATCCTCTCTGGAACCGAGATACAACTCACACATCACATTCGACAACAAAGCCTCATCTACAACACATACAACAAATTTACAACAATCACATTTAGTTATAACTTTACACTCTTCAAAATGCCTATCGGACACGTTCTCCTCCACGTCGCCAAGGCCGACTTTGCGCCTACCGTTCAGTTCTACAGCACCGTCCTCAAGACTCTCGGACTCCAGAAGCTCCCTGGTTTCCCTGAAGGCATGGTTGGCTTTGGCACCACCGGACCCGAGTTTGTCCTTCTCTCCGGCGACAAGACATCCAACGTGCACGTTGCCTTCCAGGCTGCCGGTAAGTAAAGAACTTCTTATGTACAATGGCAGCTCCTTAGGGGGTAATCTCGCCTACAGATGCTAATTGTTATATGTAGATACCAGCGCTGTTGACGCCATTCACTCCTCGGCTCTCGCAAACGGGGCAAAGGACAATGGAGCTCCCGGTATCCGAGCCGGAATTCACCCCAAGTACTATGCCACTTTCTTCCACGACCCTGTTGGCAACAACATCGAGGCTGGCACCCTGACTGCTTGAGGGCGACTTTGAGGCAGCAAGTTGGGAATGAGGAATGAAACCAATTGTAGCCTCGAGCATTGTATCACATGTATCCTATGTAGGAGACATTTAAGCAAGTAAAATTGACACTTTGTTGTAAATCCTTGGAGCCTTTCCCGATATTGCTTGTGATATTGTATATCGCTTTAGAGTATATACTGTTGGGTCCTCAAAAGGTGCTAAGTAGTCGGGCAACGTATAGTGCATGACCGAGTCCCACTACAGAGTTGAGGGTTCATACTCAAGCACGTCAGACGGCAAGCTCAATCCTTCATACTATTCTCCCATCCAGTAAACATTTATCCGCAAAAGCTCAAGTCGCCCGGATTCAAAGTCGTCGCGAGTTTGCTAAGCTCCCTGAGCCCAGCGTAAATGACGCATCAATTTCGTGAGCCGCATCCAATCGCTTTTTCTCAAGTGATTCAGCTTTGATTTCAATTGGAATGACCTGACACGCCACCTGGTGAGGCTTTTGTGCGGATACCGCGGAAATGGCGCAGTTTGTGAGGAAGTGCCGGACAGCCATGCCGACGGCCGTGCCGCTTCGATGCCGCTGACACGGATAAAGTGACTATGATGTAAGTCGTGATAGACGAAAAAGGGAAATTTCTGCGAGGCAAACAGCTAGTTAGGTTAGTATCGTATTTCGATTTGAATCAATGGGACGACTATAAAGGGATGAGAGAAACAGATATCTGATTCACTAAAGAAGCATCGCAACAACAATCATTCACCAGAACATCCTCTCTATTCCAATCTCACAATGTCTGCGCAAGAGGGACGAGCTCCATACCCGCCATTTACGGCCGAAACAGCTCAGATAAAAGTGAAAGCTGCACAGGATTCCTGGAACACTAGGTTTGTACGCCGTTCAATATGATAACTGCGTTTACCGACAAAATCCACCGTAGAAACCCAGACGGTGTCAAGATGGGCTACACGCCAGACTCAATCTGGCGCAATCGTGGCACATTCCTGACAGGCCGCGACGAGATCAAGAAGTTTCTCACCGACAAATGGTCCAGAGAGAACGGCTATCGGCTGCGAAAGGAGCTCTTTGCCTTTACGGACAACAAGATTGCGGTGCAGTTCTGGTATGAGTGGTATGACGAGTCGGGACAGTGGTGGCGCACGTATGGGCTTGAGGACTGGACTTTTGCTGAGAATGGGTTGATGAGGAAGCGGCAGATGAGTGGAAACGACGTGAAGATCAGCGATGAGGAGAGGTGGTTCAAGGATGGGGTCGATGTGAATACCGTGGACATTTCCGAGAAGCACTGGTAGAGGTGCAGTGTGTTGGTTTACAACCGGAGGCGGCTGCTGGTGAGAATTGCTTGATCTTTGTATGATATCCTGTGATGTCGCAGTCGCAGATAGTGTTGAGCAGCAGTCAGGTCTCCAAATTTGCAAAGGACTACGAAAGACAAATAGCAATGTGTCCATGATATCGTGACGAAGCTCACTACTGCGACGCAACGTTGGCCAGTAGACTCTGGCAATAATAGCCACTAGAGACAAATGTCGCAGCCACTATAAAATCGGACACGATTGCAACAGAGTCGTTTGGCCGCTGACTCTGGCCTCTTTGAGTAGGGACTGGTAGCCTAAAGATACCATGTCAGTTATATACCGAAAGGACTGGAGGGCCATAGCGTGCACCCTTATCCTATACGTTGAGATTTGGGAAACACGGTCGAACACAAGTGAACGTAATAGTCGATATATGATCTGTATCCCAGGTATCCCCGCCAAAGAGATTGCCATTGTTCGCTTCCATTTGCCCGGCATGGCTGGTGTATGACAACCTAGAGTTACGTTGGGATTTTTGCAAGGCGTCATGAGGTCTCTTTGAGAGAGCAACAATGGTAGAGCATTCATCAGTTAGTGTGCTCTCATGACTGCTTCGGCAGGTATGCTTGCCCCTGGAGTTGAACTATGAGCTGATCGAAGCCTAAGAACTCCCCAACTCCCCAGCCTCAGTCCAGAGGCAGATTTCGCCGTCGGTGGGCTTGCTGTCTTCCATTTTGGCCAGTTTGGTTCGATCCGTTGCAAAAATACTACAAGCGGCTAGGTGTTTCTATTTCTCCCCCGCGTATCTGACAACGTCCCTGCATAATCGTGCATGATGGACTGAGAAGCTGCAAGATCTATTTATACAAGATAGGGTCCAGAATTCATGCAGCCGAAGGAAGCTGTGATTCTCACGAGGGTCGCATGAACTGATGCAATAATTCTCGGCCATTGAGGTTGTAACGGCCGAAATGAGCAATGAATTGCTTCCTAAGGGTAGCATTTAGACTTTTTATTTAACGCAATCTGAGTGTGCTTCGGAGTGTCAATTGGTCTGATGCGTGTGTTGATATCTGTGTGAATAGCTTGGCGTGGGAAGAGATCGAAACTAGGAGAACAGCTTCTACATTTAAAGGAAATACATCGGCAGCAGTCTTATCGGTACCTCAAAGCCGAAGACCCCAAGCGTATTGATCGCCATGAACTTATACAATTGACACACTTGACCTTAAAGGGACCTTCCTCTGTTCGAAAGCTGGCGGCGTGGTTGCGCCTTCGCCTACCCTTGAATCGACATTCTTGTCTTTGGAGCATAGAACCGTAATCGGGCGAATTGAATTGGACGTCGGACTTGCACTGACGAACGGGTAAAGGGTCCTGGAGTGATCCAGAAAGTTTACAAGGAATCCAGCAGTATAAAGCCCTCGTCGAGTATGTCTTCTACTCCCGACAACGGGTGTCTCTGATGGAACTATAGCAGCTTGACACGAAGAAACTGCCAATGCGGGATAGAGCATGTCAGCGATCCACGAGAGAAACTTTGCAAGGGATCCTCTACGAGTAAGGTATCTCCCCTAGGCTGGCTAATCAACCAATGTAATACTCCATGTAGAGCGAATCAAGGCTCTCTGACCAGCCAAGACCATACGCCATTTCAAGCGTTTATCAGTCTATCGCTATTTTACGATCAGCAAGGAATCTTTGTCGCTCGTCTTGGCACTCCAAACTGTTGGCTGCGGGACTTCTGCTCCATCGAACAAGCTAAAAAGAACAAGCCAGGGGGGGGGGCAGGGGACTTTGTTCTGGGTGCCGAATCCGGGGCAGCGTCGACACATCGGCGATAGAGTACATGTCTGTACAAGCATCCTGGTAATGTTCAGATGATAGTTTAGTTTCCCTGTCTGGATTCTCTAGGTGTGCGAAGATGGATTTGCGTATGTAATAGGATGCCTTTGAGTGTAGCATGGGATGTCCGTACGCTCTGGCTAAGTGCTGTACTCGGATGGAAGTGGTGGTGAGAGTTACATTCGCTGTTATATGTGTCAAGTCTGTCCCGGTCGCCATTCTTAATTAGTGGCTTTCACCGAGGCAGGCGATGAAGAATTGAGCACTGAAATAACAGTTCGTCGGTAGGCCCTGGCCAGCGCCAGTGAGATGATCTGCACATCGCCGTGCCATTTCTTGCCCCCTCCTGGTCGATACCGTATACTTCGCGTTCATCTTTTGTTCGTATCCAGGTCTCTAATCATTGTAGTGCCATGGTATCGCGCATATGGTAGAGATGGGCGGAAGTATGGCTTCAAAGCTATCTTACAGCTCCTGGTATTACTACTACATACTATGCTCCTATTCTGTTCGAGAGGAAAGAGGATCAAAGCTCCCAAGAGCAGGGATCCTGTGCCCCATATTATTAAGACGGCACTATCTTGGCGCAGCGGCAAGGTTAAATAAGGCCCAAAAGTGCAAGCCACACGCATGCTTCCGTCCTTCTACCTTACCAAACGAGCCAAGATCAGTCACAAAAGTCCGCCCAGATGGCAAAAGAGTCCTGGTGGGTGTTGGCTCGAACTAGCCATGAACAGCGCGGCGTGTTTTGATAAGGGAACTTTGGTCCCGGCAGGGATCATTTGTGTGAAGAGGCAGCTCAGAACTTCGCCAAGACGACGGGTGAGGATGCTCTGGTTTAAATCCTTAGGCTGTCGCCACAGGTGATGCGCGCTGACCGATAGTGTTCGCGTGTACTGAGAATAGCTGTGATCCGGCCTACTGGTCAGTCAATTGGAGAGATGACCTTTGTGGGAAACCGTGCTGGTCTTCCAAAGCAACCCCTTTCGCAGAATGCCCGACGACCCTCTTTAGTAGAGCCTTCATGGCAGGAATCCCTAGAGTGACACCACTTGAGCGGCTGCTCTGTATTTACAATTCGCTGGCCAAGTTTTGCGCCGGTTGCAGGGGCGGTGGTGCAACGAAGCCGAGAGATGCGATGCTCCTTACCGAGTACGGAGCGGTTCTCCCGGCAGTGAATAGCTAATAATCAAGCTTACCCAGGCACAATCTTGACTTGCATCAGCCTATAGCCGCTTTAGAACTAGCCTGAGCTGAGTGCGATTCGCCCACGGCGTCGTGCATCGTTTGCCCTCTCTCTTTCTCTCGTGTAAGTCCTCACCCGTGGCGCAGACAAACAGACGCACGTACACTGCAAACGCTGAGCAGCGTCGGACCACAACGTCTTGACCAAGTCCGCTGAAAAGGCTCCATCGAGAAGGAGGATAGTAACGGCCCATGTGTCAAAGTCCGGTCCGTGGCATTCCCCACTTGACCATATGCCTCGCGGAGCATGCCGAGGCCAGATGCTACCTCGGCGTGATGGTTACTTTGGCATATCCTTCGCCGTGCAAATGCCAAGGGAAGGGCGCGGCGAAGAGCTTCGAGCGGTCGTTTGCTGTGCCTGGATATGTGAATGCTGAGACGGCAAACAGCCACTGGCCCCGTATAACGCATGTAGGTAAACGGATCGTGTTTGGTCTGCGGCCTCCCGTAAATGCTGTGCACTCGTCCCGTGTCTCGTGGCGTAGTCTCGTGCCGTACCTGGCGCTGAACTTTCCTGTAGGACCGCGTCCGATAAGTTTGGGCAGCACTTCGATAGCTTTACAAACATGGGATACGAGCCACTGTGCTGGCAGTATGTACATATGATCCAATACGGGGGAGTCGGGGCATATCATCGCCAACTTCCCGCATCGGCCGGTGCCGTTTTGCTCCGCCTCATCGCTGTGGCCGCTCGAGCGTCGAGTTGCACCCTGAGGCTGGTTCGCCCACGGCCGACTGTCCCAAAGAGGGAGGTGAAATTCTAGTGGCGATTGAGATCTCACGTCTGCCGCCTGTACAAGAGATACATGGCATGTGTGTGGGAGAGAGCAGTGTGGGAGGGCAGACCCCGCATAGAAGAGACCTCATCGCGTGCTTCAATTTCCTGAATTCGGCGCTGCACAGGCGAGAGGAGACAGTTGTGGCCGGAAGCAGAGTCGCAGTGGTACGACCATACTAGCAAGGAGTGGCTGGCCAGCATCCCAGCTTGGCTATCCAGGATCCCAAGTCTCTGTGTCTCTTACTTTATTTACCAACATACCTGACTATAGCATATAGGAAGTCTAGAAATATATAGTAATAGCAGCAGAAGACAACATCTTCTCTTCTATGTATTATTGTTAGTGGCAATAGTAGTACTAGCAGCAAGTAATAAAGTATAACTTAACCGCTATCATGGAGCTAGACATGGGGCGAAGGCGGCCTTAGAATCGAACCCCTGGCGCCACAGCGGCAGGGTCACCGGCGAGCTACTCGAGATCCCTTGTCTTGCCCGCTGCGCGTCCTGGATGGCACTTCCAACATAGTTGCAGCGACGATATGGCTCCCCTCTTCTGTACCGAGCCATCAATGCTTGGCAGCTCGAGCTGCAGGGTCGCCGCTCTGGGCCCGAGGGATGGAGTACTACTTATACTGGGCAGCCTCCCGTCGCCCTGGACGTCGGATGGAAGAGCTTCCTAGCAGAGAGCAGCAGCAGCGCTTTGATCCGGCGCACCGGTCATTGTCTCGTCTCATCTCGTCGTTCCGCAAGGCACTGTCTTGTGTGTCACTTCACACATACAGATCTTCCACAGTCAGACAAGCGGGAGAGTGTGAGCCATGGTGCGCTACGCTCTGTTCGTGTCGCTGCTCGCGACCCTCTCCGGAGTCATTGCCCGTAGCTCCGGACATGGATCAAAGATCGTACCCGGCGCCTACATCTTCGAATTCGAGGATTCACAGGTGAGTCTCGCTCGGCCGTTGGCACTGGGCGGCATGGCTATAGCTGTGACAATGCTGACGGGACTCCAATTCAGGACACGGCCGACTTCTACAAGAAGCTCAACGGCGAGGGCACGACGCGCTTGAAGTTCGACTATAAGCTTTTCAAGGGCGTCTCCGTGCAGCTCAAGGACCTCGACAACCATGAGCAGAAGGCCCAGCAGATGGCCGCGCTGCCTGCTGTCAAGAACATGTGGCCCGTCACCCTCGTGGACGCCCCCAACCCCAAGGTCGAGTGGGTTGCTGGCAGCACGGCGCCTTCTCTGGAGAGCAGGTCCACCAAGAAGCCAACGATTCCAAATGACTCCTCCATCAACTTCCCCCCGCATCAGATGACCCAGATCGACAAGCTGCGAGCCAAGGGCTACACGGGCAAGGGCGTCAAGGTTGCCATCATCGACACAGGCGTAAGTACAAGCCCACCGTCCCAAGCAGCTCGTCAAGAAGCTCACACGAGGTCAGATTGACTACACCCACCCTGCTCTCGGCGGCTGCTTTGGCAGTGGCTGTCTGGTCTCCTTCGGCACTGACCTGGTCGGTGACGATTACACCGGCTTCAACACACCCGTCCCCGACGATGACCCCGTCGACTGCGCCGGCCACGGTTCTCACGTTGCCGGTATCGTTGCCGCCCAGGAGAACCCCTACGGCTTCACTGGCGGCGCTCCCGATGTCACCCTTGGCGCATACCGAGTCTTCGGCTGCGATGGCCAGGCCGGTAACGACGTCCTGATTTCCGCTTACAATCAGGCCTTTGAGGACGGTGCTCAGATCATCACCGCCTCCATTGGTGGTCCCTCTGGCTGGGCTGAGGAGCCGTGGGCCGTTGCCGTCACCCGCATCGTCGAAGCAGGTGTTCCCTGCACTGTCTCTGCCGGCAACGAGGGTGACTCCGGCCTGTTCTTCGCCAGCACGGCGGCTAATGGCAAGAAGGTCATTGCCGTTGCCTCTGTCGACAACGAGAACATTCCCTCCGTGCTTTCTCTCGCCAAATACAAGATTGACAGCGGAGCCGACGAGGATTTCGGCTACGTCTCATCCTCCAAGGCCTGGGATGGCGTGAGCAAGCCTCTGTATGCTGTATCGTTCGACACAACCATCCCAGATGATGGCTGCTCGCCTCTCCCTGACAGCACTCCCGACCTCTCCGACTACATCGTCCTCGTCCGCCGCGGCACCTGCACCTTTGTCCAGAAGGCCCAGAACGTCGCTGCAAAGGGCGCCAAGTACCTGCTCTACTACAACAACATCCCCGGGGCCCTGGCCGTAGATGTCAGCGCCGTCCCCGAGATTGAGGCCGTCGGCATGGTAGATGACAAGACTGGCGCTACCTGGATTGCCGCCCTCAAGGATGGAAAGACGGTTACTCTGACGCTGACCGACCCGATCGAAGGCGAGAAACAGATTGAATTCTCCGACAACCCGACAACCGGCGGTGCTCTCAGTGGCTACACAACCTGGGGCCCGACCTGGGAGCTGGACGTCAAGCCCCAGATCAGCTCTCCCGGCGGCAACATCTTGTCCACCTATCCCGTAGCTCTCGGAGGATATGCCACCCTTTCCGGCACGTCCATGGCCTGCCCCCTGACGGCTGCTGCTGTTGCTCTGATTGCCCAGGCCCGCGGCACCTTTGATCCTACCTTGATCGAGAACCTCCTGGCCACAACTGCCAATCCCCAGCTGTTCAACGACGGCGAGCAGTTCTACGACTTCCTCGCCCCCGTTCCCCAGCAGGGTGGTGGTCTCATCCAGGCCTACGATGCCGCCTTTGCGACGACTCTCCTGTCACCGTCCAGCCTGTCGTTCAACGATACCGACCACTTCATCAAGAAGAAGCAGATCACTCTCAAGAACACCAGCAAGCAGAGGGTCACCTACAGGCTCAACCACGTCCCCACCAACACTTTTTACACTCTGGCACCCAACAGCGGCTACCCGGCTCCCTTCCCCAACGACGCCGTTGCCGCTCACGCCACTCTCAAGATTGGTCTGCAGCAAGTGACTCTGCCTGCGGGTAGATCCATTACGCTCGACGTCATCCCGACTCCCCCTAAGGGCGTCGACGCCAAGCGCCTTGCCGTGTGGTCGGGCTACATCACGGTCAACGGCACGGATGGCACCAGCCTATCTGTCCCGTACCAGGGCCTCACCGGCTCCCTCCACAAGCAGCAGGTACTCTACCCGGAGGACTCTTGGATCGCCGCGTCCACCGATGAGAACCTGGCCCCTGTCGAGAACGGCACCGTCTTCACCATCCCCGCCCCGGGCAACGCCGGCCCCGACGACACGCTCCCATCGCTTGTCGTCAGCCCGGCCTTGGGCTCCCGTTATGTCCGCGTTGATCTCGTACTCCTGTCCGCGCCTCCTCACGGTACCAAGCTGAAGACGGTCAAGTTCCTCGACACTACCTCCATTGGCCAGCCTGCCGGCTCACCTCTTCTCTGGATCAGCCGCGGCGCCAACCCTCTCGCCTGGACCGGCGAGCTGTCCGACAACAAGTTTGCTCCCCCTGGAACGTACAAGGCCGTGTTCCATGCTCTGCGTATTTTCGGCAACGAGAAGAAGAAGGAGGATTGGGATGTGAGCGAGTCTCCTGCATTTACCATCAAGTATGCGTGAAGAGGAGAAGAGTCTCCAAGACCATAGCTGTAAATGATTCTGTATGTATGAAGCATCTGAATGATAATTGAGTGATGACCCTCAACAGCTTGAGCTTCTCAGCTGCAAGAACAGCGTGTGATACGTCATGTGATCGTGAAAGTTCCAGTTCTAGCATCGCCATCACGTGCTGTCCCAGGTTCCAGCTTCAACCCCAACCGTCTCCAAAAATCCATCGCCAGACCAACCGTGTGTCGAGTCTTAAGATCAGCCCCAGTCTCACTAAGCCCTCCAATCAGCTCTCGGCGGCGCCACCAACGGCACCAGGCAGCAGGATTCTCGCACGATGGGATTCGCCGGCTCAGCTTCTGGGTTACCTGAGGCCCCCACCGATCTTTGCGGGGACGCGGCTTTCGGAGGGCGAGTGCGTGATAGTAGAGAGGAATGGATAGGACAGAGGCTTGACTGACTGACAAACTGGCACTGGCTGGCAGACACTGTCTCACATCGAGCCCGTGCCACCGCAAGGCAGCGAGTTTCGCCCTCGATAACGACCGTCAGCTTTGGGGCATCGCGCTTTGGCCTGTCCAATCCATTCCGGGCTCTCTCCAAGGCAAAGACGGCATTGATGCTCGCTCGCAAATTTGTTTTCCTGGATCGAAATCTCCGAGGCCGCTTTGGGCGCATTCTTTGAGGAGCTGTCACATTTTTCTGCGCTCATCGGAATTAACTGCGACTCTGCCCCCTTGTTGAGGGTGTATCGAGTTGAGGTTGCCTGCATAAGGCCCGGTCGGTATCGGACAGCTCGCCTCACCCTCCTCAGGACGACGTTTGCTAAGCGCTGCGATGCGTCGCGCTTGAATCACAACCGTCGCAGTCTCTTATCCGCCCTGCAGCTGCATCGCGGCCAGGCGAAATTCCAGCTTAAGGTAGAGATCCGCTTTGGGTACGGAATATCCCCGATCCAACCAGGTGCCGTCCCTGCGCCTGATAACAGCAAGTGCTCCGAGTTGCCAAACAGGGGACCCTCACTTCAGGCAACAGCAAATCGCCATTGTATATAGGCAGCGCGATAGGGGGAGGACCGGCAGTCAGCCTTTTCCCGTTTCTCACTCAAGCGCAAGATGGACTCCATTCTGCCAATGGGCGGCTTTCAGTTGCCGTTCCAGCGTCGCCTGAGCCGTCTTTACAACGACACCAAAAAGTCTGGCGACTTCGTCAAAGAGCCTGCCCAGCATGAGGACGATCCCGAGATCAAGGCGCTCTATCGCAAGCTGCGCATCCAAAAGGATCGCTTTGTTAGCTGGGGGCTGGACTGGTCAGACCCCAACCAGTCTGCTGAGATCGATGAGTCTCTTTCCAAGGCCGGCCTGAGCGAGGTTGTCGGCAGTATCATGTCTACTATCAAGGACATCCTTGCCGAAGCCGAGCCTCTGTGGATGAGTTACAAGCGAGTCGTTGAGGGAGTCCGGCCATCGCCAGACCGCAAAGCACCCCTGGTCCAGTGGGATAAGGCCCGGTTCGAAGACCTCATTCGCGATCTCACTGATTCCATCGATACCCTCTACGACTTGTCGCGAATGCGCTCGACTGAGGTCTCGAACCGCCTGGTGACCAAGCCGGCTACTAAGTCGGCCGCGTCCGAAGGCGACTTTCGACCATTCGAGTCGACACGCATGCAGACTCCCCAGCAGATCGACCCCAAGAGTCTGACGCACCTGCAGCCGTTGCAAGATGGGATGAGTACAATATCGGCGTCTTGTCGGCACGTTGTCTACATGAGCAAGACGGCCTACTCTGAGCTCACAACGCAAGGTCTTACTCGCCAACCATGGGCTCCTCTCCTGCTTGAGTACGCAAACTTTGATCCCATATACTCAACCACAGGCATTATGCCCCCGATGGCTCGTTTTGAGAAGCTGTCATCCGCCCTCCAACAAGATCCCCAGCGAGCGCCTGGTGCTTGGACCGGTCTTCCTCGTCTGCTTGGCTACTTTGAAGACCTTGAGAACTCCCGGCTGGGCCTGGTGTATCTTTTCCCTCCTTCATTCAATACTCTAGCCTCCAGCAGAGTGACCCAGAACCCTCAGTATAGCCTGCCCACGCTGAGCGATCTACTCGCGCGGGACGGCTCCGAGCCTCCGCTCGAGGCAAAGTTCCGTTTTGCGTACAACCTGACAAATACAGTGTTCGATTTGCACGCCAGAGGAATCACTCATGGCAACCTCTGTGATGCCAACATTTCTTTCAGCAGAGCTGGTGCGGCAGACCATGGCAACAAGAATGGTCAGGTGGATATTCGTCGACCCGTGTTATCATCGTTCGACGTCTTTACAGACGAAACCCCCCAATCCTCGATTTGGCGACATCCTCTTGATACTCGGTCCTCACAAACAGTGCCTCTGCCGTCCTCTATGGACGAGCGAGTCTTGGAAGTCTACTCCTTGGCCATGGTTCTGCTATCTATTGGCTTGTGGACGAAGCTGGACAGTCTCGCGCCATCTGCGGCGCCCACGACTGTTCCCGAGTCTGTACTAGACAAGCTAGCCATCAGGTGCGGTACGCTATACATGAAAGCCGTCCAAGCCTGTTGGAAGGTTGTCGACGAGGAACTCGCGGGACATCCCAAGGGCGAGTCGTTTCTATCCGCTGTGCAGATGCGCGTCACTCGCTTCCTGGAAGCCTGCTGCATTCTGGATGGCGTGAGCGGATTCGAGGAGAGACTGGGCCAGGAGTCGTCGCCTGTTGAACCCGCCCCACTGTCTACAGCTGGGCCTTCGAAGGAGAGCAAAGAGAAAAAGGCGATGCCAGGGCCTGTTGCGCCTGCCAAGAAGCCTCTTCCACAATTGCCTCCAACCCCTATCCCGGCACAAAGCTACGAGACGACAAATGGTACGTTTACCAACGCTGAACTGGAAACAACATGGACTAACAAGAGGAAGCAGATGCCGAAACGAAGGAGAGCAAGTCCGAAGCCAAAGTTCGACTTTATCCTCACGTACCTCTACCCCCGGACGTTGTCGAGAAGTGGAATTCCATCCTCATGCCCCAGATCAACATTGCTCTCAAGTCATTCTATCGGAAACACCCGGAGTCGGTCGAGATATCTCTCGAATCCGTGGGCCCAAGCCCTCATCAGACTAGACCTACAGTCTTGGTGGTCTGCACATCTGTTGGCAAAGTCCGTGCCATCCTGAAGAAGAAGCTAGGTGAGCTGTTTGACGACTCTACAGGCTTCGGGCTCAAGGTATGCCGTGGCAGCGTCATTCGGTCACGCAGACAAGCGGGGGCAATTAAGAGGTCCATGGCGCGGGGGAGCAGGTCGGGTAGGAATGCGGCTCACGACAGCGACGATGACCATGTCGAGGCTGTGAACCCGGAGTATCAGGAGAGGCCAAACAACGGCGCAAGCATTGGAGCTTGGATCGGCGATCGCCATCTGCCGCCCGTCAGCTTTGGCGGCCTGGTCATTGTGGACGACAAGACGTACGGAATGACCGTGCACCATATGCTCGATGATCCGGACCGAGATTTTGGGTTTCCGGATACGATGCGCAGCAGCGCCATTCCCGGTCGCGAGTGGCTCCCTGAGCCGGCCTTTGGCAGCTTCGACAGCGAAGACTTTTCGTACGAGCTCTCTGACACTGAATCAGAGCCCTACTCGGAGACGGACCTGACCAGCGATTTCGAGGATGAAGACGAAGAGGAAGACGAGGAGTACAACGAGCCGGGTGATATACCGGGCATTGAGCCAGGGTGCGGTGACGGCTATATCGTCACCCAGCCTGCGCTCGACGACGTTGAAGAGGGATTTTATCCCTGTGCTGAAACGGAAGACGAAGACCATCTTGACACTTACAGCCTGGGTGAAGTGTATGCTTCGAGCGGTATTCGCCGCAAGCAGGCAAATGGCCTGGTCCACGAAGTTGACTGGGCTCTGTTCGAATTTACCGAGGGACGCTTGCCCGAAGACAACTGTATCCCCAGAATTACCAGCGATGCGAACCAGCAGTCTCGCAAGAGAAACAAGAACAGTATGCCGCCGCTCCGCCCGACCACGGTGGCTCCATGGGCAACTCTTCCAGGTCTTGAGGTGCAGTGCGTCGCGCGAACGAGCGGCACGCAGACGGGGCAGATCCTACCAGCCCTGACAAGTGTCAAAATTTACGGGCGCCAGTCACCAAGTCATACGTATCAGATTGCCAGCACTCCGACTGCAGCGGCAGGACCTGCGGCGAAGGCCTCCATCCCGCTGGGCATACCCGGAGACAGCGGTGCCTGGATCGTCGATCGCTACCACGGGCAGCTCTGCGGGCACGTGCTGGCCTGGAGTCAGCGCAAGCATGTGGCATATATGTGCCCGATGGACGTTTTGCTGCTCGACATTGCGCAGACTTTGGAAGCAACAGAGGTCCGACTTCCTGGCGGCGAGCCTGTTGTAATGCTCAACACGGAGGAGCTTGACAACACAGGGCGAGTGGAAAATGATGACGACTTGGAGGAAGAGGAAGAAGAAGAGGAGGAGGAGGAGGAGGAGGAATATGACATGCCCCCACAGCTAGTGGGCGAGCCGTCGAGCCCGAAGAGAATTGCGACGCCGGCCGCCTCGTCAAGTCCGATCATGCTGGACGTTGCGGAGATGCCGGGGCTCACGAGGCAGATGGAGAGCATGAAGGTTGGAACGCGAAGGATTGACGTGAATGGGTAATGATTAGGATGGATTGGCTCTTGGTTCTATGACAGTATGGCAGTACTGTAGTGTCTTTTCCCTTCTCTTTGTTTTGTTCTTTCTTGTATACCCTACTTTTGATGGAGCACGCAGTCACAAAATGCTGTGGTATGGGATTTGCCAGTTCCAAAATGAATCATTTCAATACAGCAGTTATCATTCTTGATGCATCTACATAAAGTCGTCTTCCCAATCCTCTGCTCGGTCCTGGTTGCTCGCCGCAGCCATGTTCTCGTCGGTGAAGAGGTCGTCGTACGCATGATCCTTCTGCCACTTCTTTTCCTTCCACTCTTGGGCTTGTCGCTGTTCTTCTTTTTTCTGGAAGAGGCAAACAAGTCAGCCACAGAGAACAAATAATCGCGGGTATGCGCAGGATCTGGATATAGATGAGGGGAAAGGCTGTGCTTCTCCCCAATCGGGACGACCAACAGACGTGTGATTGTATAGCGTACCTTGATCAGCTGCGCGGCCTGTTCCTTCTTACGGAGCTCCTTGAGCATATCATCTCTCTCGGCCTTGAGGTCGGGCTTCTTTTCGACTTTTGTCTTGTTGAGGCGGTTGACGATGGGGTTTTCGCGATGGGGGACGAGTACGCGCTTGACCTGTTGATTCCGGCATACACAGCTTTGGTGTCAGCACAACAATTCCATGAGAATGTTGGATAATTTTCTTTGTGCGGTCAAGCGAGAGGAGGAGGGAGCTTGCCTTTCGTGGATCGTGAAAGCTGACTTGTCCAACGTCCATGCTTCCGTCCTTTTTGAGATTCGACCAGGGCGTGTAGATGATGGTGACGTTGTCCTTTTTATTCCCTGGATAGATGAGGAAAACAAGCACATCAGCCAACATCACCATCAAGAATAGAAATGCTCAAGGTTGAACGGGAAACGGATGAGAGGCCGAACGAACCCTCTATTGAGTTTGCCTTTGTGAGCTGCGCCAGGTCCATGACCAGCGGCTCAGGCAGGTTGTCCCATGTCTGGCCGGGCTGCATGCGCAGGTAGATGTGCGCGCTGGAGAGCTTGTCGACGTGGAACTGGTGAGAGAGCAAAGGTCAGGTTCATCTTTCTTTCTTTGCGAATCTCATCTAAAAAAGAGAGAGCCGGTGGTGAGAGACCGCGAGAAAGGATTCATCATACCCTAGAAAGAGAGGTTCAAGAAAAAGAGTCAGTAAGTGAAGAGAAAGAGAGGAGAGAGACGAGAAGAGCAGAGAGGGGGGACGTCTCATACCAAACATCTTCCTCCCAGCCATACTTGATCAAGTCCTCGTCTAGTCGACACTCAGACAAAAAGATTAGAAACAAAAACTCATAAGCCCGCGATCCATATCATCAATCTTCGTCTTAGTAGATGAGGGAAAACCTCCGCAGACAAAGAAAACTCACTCTCAAACTTATCCTTGCCGACGTAAATGAAGCCCGCCGGCTCCACGACGTTCGAGGTGAAGTAGTACACCATTTTCTGCCTCCTCTATTCTTTCTCTCTCTGCCGCTCTCTGTCACTCCCTCGCTGTTCCTCGCCTCCTATCTCGCAGTCCTTTATTTGTCTCTCAGTAATCTCAGCTCCGCTGATCCCTTTCAGCAGATGCTCAGCAGCGCCACAGCAGCAGCTTCGTCGTCATCCAAAGTCTTCCTGTCTTTCCTTTTTTTTCCCTCTCAAAAACCACCACAGAAAGAAGAGACAAGGCGCAAAAGCGGGCCTTTGGCAACTGTGAGACACGTGACCCCACCTTTTCTCAGAAGGCGCTTCGTAACGTGCGAGTGACACGGTCCGGGCCTTCAAGCCGTCCGCCGGATCAAGATGGCCTCGTTCCGGTCTTTGCCTGCCGTCGTCCATCCAGACTGTATTTTGTCCTCTTTTCTCGTGTGCGTGTGTTCTTGCCTGCTTAGACGCACTCCCCTCCTCCTGCCCTCCTTTCTTTCTGTCTCGTCCCATCAGTCACGATTCCTACATTTTTTTGCCCTTTGTGTAACTGCAAACTTCGGCACTGACGGGGAGCCGAGAATAGGTCCCCGAATCGGACGTCTATTTGCTGTCCAATCAATCCACTGGCCGCAGCATCTCAACTCCTCGTATACTTCATCAGGGATAAATCAAGGCACAGATAGCAAACAAGTGAGCCTTCCAAGAATAACAGGAAATTTCTCATCCCAAGTCAACTTAGAAACCCCCCCCCTTCATCTCGTCCCGTGTCGTCTCGTTACACGCAAACTCAAAGACCCCCAAATATTGAACAAGGCACACAGTGCTGACTCATCCTCCAATCCAGCCAACCACATCCAAAGCCGAAATCTATCGGACCTCCATAAACCTCAGGACCCGCATCACCACCGCCGTCTTTCAACTTCATCCAAGACAAACCTGCCACCCTCTTTTCCTTTTTGCTTCCACTCTGGATCCTTGAATCCTTGTATCACTCTGCCTGTACCTTTGTCTGGGTTTTGTGCCAAATACATGTGACTTGTTTTATCTCTCAGTCTGGTGTACTCGTATCTTTTGTTCCGGCTCTTTGTCTACCCTGTCAGTCCATGCTCACCCCTCTGCCCACTTACACTTACATTTACACCATGTACTTCCCGTTATACTTTCGTCCTTGCTCTGACGATGCATGTCTGATCCCATCTACCCGGCTTCATCTCTCTGTGCCTCTCTGTACCCTGGCTGCCATCCTCATCCGCCTCCTTCCCAGTTACATCACCACTCTTCTATACCTCAGCCTTTACATCATCCCGTACTCCCCTTCTCCCCCGGTCAACCTTGTCAGATCCAGTGTCTCCGCCTCTCATCCACTTCCGGAAAGCTCCCCCGTGAACCTTCTCCATCCGTTCACAGTACCCAGCCTCATTCCTCCATCATCCACTGCCACCACCCACCCCCCACCTCTCCCTTTCCGCCCATCTTCCCACAATTGCCTGCAATCTAGAAGCCCGGTCCCAATAGACACCCTAGTACAGAATCTCACGAATCTCCCCACGAGACATCCGCCATCTCAATGACCTTCATCTCAACTCTCTTTCCAGCCTACGCCAGCAGTCAAGGCAAACAAACATTCCAGTCAATGCCCTGCACGTCCAGTCATTGTATCTAAACGGCCTAGCTCTCTCTACCAGGCGCGTACGAGTAACCCGATCTGCCTCCTCTTGCCACTAGATACTATCTTTATACGAGCATGCTGTGGCTATCTCTCGGCCCTCGGCTTCCGCCAATTTCTGGTTGTACAAACTACCTATACATAGACCGCTCGTGAAAGAGTTCTGTGCCGCCTGCATCCCGTGTCCCCCCAACCTCGACCTCCCCCCGGCAAGCCACAGCCGACCCCTGCCCCTGGTTCCCCTCCAAGGTTGCATCGATCTGGAGGCGCACGGAAACTCGTCGATCCGAGCCTTATTTCTTGATGCATAAACGTGCTTGTTTCTGGTCCATAACCTTGCTTAGACTCGTTCTCAGCATCAAAGAGGCAAAGCTGGGACGTCAGTGGCTGCCTGAAAGAGCGAGTCCCCATCGAAAACCGCTGTCATATTCCCGATCCAGGAAATCGCAGTCACATTTACCGATCGGAGGTCAGCATCCTATCTGCTACCAGGTAGCTACATATGTGTCAACTGCCGCCCAGTTACCAGGTTGGCGGGATGCATCACAAGCCGCTTGTGCACGTTTTTTAGCAGCGCAGAACAAAGTTCGTTGCATTTTATCCTCAATCTTAAGCTACCCTTCCCATGTGTTCAATCTAGCCCTTGTCCCTGTTTGCATAACTCAATCCAGATTTACCATTGCTGTTTCCCCTAGAGCCCACACTCCACTGGTAGAGGAAACGGGCTCTCTCGGGTACTTTCTAAAGCTAACTGCCGTGCAAATCTATCCAATCCCTTGTAAAAAGCACCCAACAAAGAAATTCTAACCGGACGCCCACTTCAACTCGGCAACGTCGACAGAGTAGGTGCTAATGCAGAAAAGACGTTAGCATTCTCGTTTAATATTCCTCCCGGCAGGGGAGGAAAAGCGACGAGAATGGGGGGTAAGCTTGAACATACTTGATGCTGGAGCTAAACGACAGTGATCATGTTCGATTTGGCGTTGCCAAGTAAGGTTGCACCATTGGCAGAACGAAAGATATTCACGAGAATATAGTATTGGCCAGGAGTCGTGATAGTCAGATCAGCGAACGTGTAGCGGAGGCCGCCTCCCGCTGACATGCCAGTGGCGCTCTTGTTTCCCTGGAGGACGCCACTGACTTCGTTTCCTGCAGTGTCCAAGAGCACCGCGTGTGCAAAGTACAGAATTGGCTCCGGCTCCAGTTGCTGCTGAAGCGTAAGGCCTGGGTTCAGGGTTTTGCCGGCGTTGGCCTCAGCAGGCTGGGACGAAATCTGAATGGTGGCCATAATTGCTTTGATGATTGCTGAAAGAGGGGTCTTATGAGACGAGGGCTTGATGAATAGGTTAAAAGGAGTCAAGGTTGGTGAATTGGAAGATGTCTGTGGTTCTGAGTGCTGGATACTCGACCAGATGGGCGAGAAAGGACCTCATTATATACTCGTGAGAAGGCAGTTTGTGCCCTCTCTCTGGACCGATCTTCCATCATGACCGCAGCTGTGGCTTGACAGCATCTGCCCAAGTTTGCAAATGAATCAGAGACAAAAGGTTGTTTAATCTGGGCCAGGTTTGTGCCGACAAACAAGAAGTCGACCTCTTTGCAATAGCAAAGGCAGGCTATGAGCATCTCCAGGTAATACACGGCTTCTATTCCGAGCACAAGTGACATCAAGAAATTGTCAAGGCCAGGGTGTCGCTCGTATCTTGCGGTCATGACTGGCCATCAACTCAGCGCGTTTGCAGACCACAGGACAACCGGTGCCAATCTGGATGCGGCTTCGAGCGCGGCAGACGCTAAATCGCAGATAAACGAATCGGATGAAGCCTGGGGGGTTCAGAGAGCTGCGTCTTGACAGCAGTCAGCAGGCATAGCAAGCAACTGCGGTTCATATGACAGAGACGACAGGCATCGCGGGTGGTGGTGGTGGGTGGTGCTTCTCCACATCCTCTCGTTCCCCGAGTGACTACCAGACCCCCTTACTCCGGGGCGCGCTTTCGGTTTGACATCTTATCTACCTGTTCACCTTGGTGTTTGTTCCATGTTTGGCCTTTCGGTCTGCTGTTCAGTCTCCAAGGCAGAGAGAGGTGGTTTATACCGACCTATCTTCTCTCCCAGTCCCTGCAACGGTTGACGGGTCGGTCCGGCCTTAACATGTGAGGATGGTGAAGATATCTGCCCTGCTCGAGAGCGGAGCCTTGCCTGGAGAAATGAGGCTGAAGGGCCAACATAGTACCCGGTTCTCGGTGCAAGGGAGGGGCGTGCAAGGCACGACGTAGTGTAGAGCGGCATGGCGAGCTTGAGTCCGGAGATGTCATTTCCTTGGGTGTGCGTCTTAAGCTGAGTAACCTCGCCTGAAATATTAGTGTCGTGTGTCTCCTCTCAATGATGGCGGCTCAATGAGTTGACCGGCTTCAGCTCTCGGTCCCGGGGTGTGTGGACAAGGGGTCCTCCGTGCGGCATCTTAATCTGAACGGCCCCTCTCTCGCACTCCCTCGCTCGGCCCTATGGTACTAGGTCCCAGGAAAGCGGCCAAATTAGGGTTAAGCGGGAGAAGTAATGGGAAAAGAAGACTTGCATTTCACGCTGGTAGCCGTAGATTCGTGCCCATCATTGATCTGTGCGTACTCTGTATCGGAGCGGCGCTTATCACAAGCCACGGAGCGCTCCCGTATAGACCTGTCCAGACGGAGAAACTATGCGGACTGTACTTGGTGGAAGTCGGCGATAATACCTAGGAGCAGACAGAAAGCCAATATCCTTTGCGGGTGTCAGGGCGTGCTCCGACTGGAATCTTATGTGTTCCGCTCTCTGCTGGTAGATAAGCGCTTGGTGCTTCAGCATCACGAACCGCCCTCAAAAATATGGTTATCGTGAAGACGAAGAGATAGGAGAAGAGATCTCTTGTCTTTTTGTGCTTGTCGTGCTCATCGGTCTGTTTTCTCTGGAATGGTACCTGCGGAAGCCGCATGCTTCAATCGGCGGGTGATTCGGAAGCTGAGGCAGCGTCCGGCTGCCTCTCCCTCACTCTCGACGAGCAGCATAGGGCCTGTGCCAATGGCCTCAAGACAGATTGGCTCGCTCCTGAGAGAATCTACCTGAGGAATCTCTCGAGAGGCCTGGGGCTTTGAATAGTGAGCAGTGCGTGAAAGATGTCTCAGCTTGTCCAGGCGCGGCGCTCAGCCATCTCTCGCTGGGTGGAGAGCAAATGTCCCCCAGCCGTGTCTATGACCGTGATGATTGGATACCAACGGGATCGACGTTGAGATTGGCCTACATAGGCATATGCAAGAAATCCTGGGAAAACGTGGCATGGCAGCTGCGAGACACTGTCTTGTGTGGCAGCCATGATGGCTTCCGGCCTCCCAATTGGCTCTCCATGGCGGGTACCTGGACAATTCGGGCTCTCCCCTCTGCTGCTGACCTGATATAAGCACAAGACGACCCGCTGATGTATGGGAAGAGGGCTTGGGATGTAACTCAGTCAGATGAGGTTCCCCAAGAGGCCGTGGCGCGGTCGTTCCCCGGTGTCTGGCACATACAAGTTTTGTACCAGGAGGCTGGGAGTTCCGCTCTCACATACTCTTCAGATCTCATGTCCCATCTCTCACGCCCTCCTAGTTTCTTCTCCAATAGCACTTTCACACAGGGTCTTCCTCGCACTCCAGAGAATCCAGGGACTTGTGTAACAGGTGGCGTACATGAACAGATCAGGTGTCTCGCGAGTTGCCCGGGGTGTAGTGTATTACCAGATCGTTTTGTAGCATTTTTCGGTATCCAATGGGCCCACGAGCTGTTGAAATACCCAAAGATGGTTGAACAGCGAGATGGAGAGCAATAGACGACGCTCCAAAAGTGGTCGCTTATGCAGAACTATGGTCTGGCGTTTAGGCGCGTCTGTTGGATCGCACATCCACTGCTTCGATCTCGGCAGAGCCCTAGCTCATTTGTCTAGACCCTTTTACGCTAAAACCCGCGTACCCGGAATGTCAGTGCGGATCGGCCCAGGGTTAGGGGGCTTAGTAGATGCATCGAGCATGGTGCCGCGGACAGTCAGGCGTGTCGGATGTCGTTCTGATACTGACTGTGCATTGTCACATGCGATCCTTGCTACCCATGTGTGCTGTATTAGACGCAATAACCGTGGCATGGACCAAGGCAGACGGTCTGTTGTCCAAACGAGGGATTGTCTCCCCGCACCCGGTGTTCCGCAAGAGCGCCGAAACACGGCGTGCGTGTGCGTGTCCTGTGTATGCGATCTGTGTACACCGAGACATGTCAGGGTTGTTTACTTATCATGACGCGTGTGGCTCCCTCTGTCTTGAGCGATTTCCGGGCAGCAAGACGGTGCGGACTCTGCCGGCGATGAGGCGGACGAAGGCGCTTTGGGGCGGCCACAGTGAGGAGAGTTGGAGTAGCTGTTTCGGATAGAGCATTCAGATTTGGCGCTATTGATCTTTGTCTTTCATCCTGATGAGATGCGATTCCCCGGTCTTCGCACGCCCTCCATGGAGGAGCCTCATAGGAGAGCCAACCTCGCGGCTCACACACCAAGTAGTGCCGAAGTGACCTCGACTCATCCGCAACACGACACAAGACAACAGTAGAGAGCTTGGCACGGTACGGCAGATCTTGCATTTTGCCCACTCAAATCGAGCTGGGGCCGGACGGCTCGACAAAGGCTGCTGTGACACGAACAGAGACGTGGGCCAGACAGGACGCCGTGGCGGAGGCGATGGCCCGGACGAAGGGGCTCATTGCGAGATGGTAAATCTGGGCTGCTGTCTTGCGAGCAAGACATAGAAAAGGGTCAGGTGGCTGGCGTATTGCCAAGCAGCTGAGTGTGTATCGACTGTCTCTTGGCCCTTGGCTGACTGAGGGGGTGGTGAATCCAGGCAGCATGTTCAGCACCGCTTCTCGTGATAACAGGCACCTGGCGAGGTGGGAGATGTCAGCCAAATGCTGCTGGGAAGTTACTTGCTTGATGAAATCACCATGGCTGAGTCTTGCGTCTTTGTGTCAAGAGTCAAGTGGAAGAAGTGTCAATTGAGGTGAGTGGTGGAGGAAGACGCGTCTTTGTCAAGTCCGTTCAGCAGCTCAGCAGCGCCTTCCCACGATGCTGCAGTACCTTATGGTAAGGTAGACGCGTATCATCCATGCGTTCAGGTTTATCTGCTCTGAACAGCTGGGATTGAGTATTTGCAGTGTACCTACTTGTCGTGTAGGTGAAGCAGAGCTTGAAACAAGGGATCACAAGCATTGGATCCGGCACCAATTCGGCGACTTAGACATGTCTGTCGACCGAGGTACATTCGTCCTCAGAGGATGTACTTTTTCGAGACCCGGACGTGGATGACCGGAGCTCCTTGTGGCACGGGTACCCGGTAGCTGGAACAGGAGAGGAGACATCTGACACAGGGTCTTGCAGCTGCATGCTCGTGCTCGTGTTGAGTGCTCTGTGTCTCAGTTGTATAGACGGCTTTGTGATTGGAAGCATCATGGCGATCTCTCAGAAGTCGGAGCTGGTCCTTGAAGGTCAGATGAGCCGCTGACAGCCGCTGTGGAGACGGTTCCATTTGCATGCAGCTCACCAGTCGTTCATGGGGGTTCGTTTACACCTGCAGGGCTCTGTCGCCGATACGAAACCTGGAAAAGGTGTTGTGTCCGTCCATTTTGGCTCTTGGAAAATTTGCATTTTTAATAAAATTGAGTCACTGTTGATCAACTCGTCTCCTGAGCTGGAGGTTCATCGTAGAAGCATAGATTCAGAGGTAGTAGTGACTGAACGTAGAGCTCCAAGCTGCAGCCAAATCGTTATCGGCGCCACAGCCGCTGCACCCCATCTCTAGGGCAGCAAAAAGTACCTGGCCTCCGATACTGGACGCAGCCTCGCGATGGGACTTTTTGCAGCCCCCCTTCGGCGGACACTGGAACTTACGAATTCTTGATAGCCTGCGGACCTGTCAAACCAGACAGTCCACTCGGCGCCTCTCCATGTCCGCTGCCGCGCCCTTGCGAGCCCTGCATCGGCCAGCTCTGCTATCGCTCCGCGCAGCTCGGCTTGTACCCCGAAAGCCCCGCGTCTACCCAGCACTTGAAGGCGTCCCCCACCATACATGTAACCGCCATCTCCAAAGCTCCAGCTTCCGTCCTCCAGCTTCATCGCTTGCTGCTCCTCTTGTCTCACATCGCTGCTTCTCCCGCTCGTCGCATCGATCCTCCGCCAACATGGTCGCCGAAGACTTCGAAGCCGTGCTTAAGGGCAAGTACCCGGGCAAGTCGCACGCAAAGCGCGTCGTCGACCTGATCCGCAAAAAGGACCCCGAGGCCAACGGCGTTCTCTATCTCGAGGGCCGCATGACCAAGCTGCTCGAGGACAATGACTCGCCCGAGCCCTTCCGGTACGTCAGAGACTGCAGACTACTATGCAGCTGTCGCGGATGTCAAGAGACCGCTAACTGAACCCTGATCTGTCTCGCAGCCAGCGCCGCTACTTCTACTACCTCACCGGCTGCAACTTGGCCGACTGCTACTTCACCTACGACATCCAAGCCGCCAAGTCCACGCTCTTCATTCCCCCGATCGACCCCCACGACGTCATCTGGTCTGGTCTGCCGACCACCATCGACGACGCCCTCAAGCTGTACGATGTCGACGAGGTGAAGCTGACCACCGAGGTCAACGCGACCCTCGCCCACCTGGCCAATGCCAACTCCAACTCGACCATCTACGCCATCAATGGCCAGGTGTCGGATCACATCACCTTTATCGGCTTCGAGAACAAGGACTTCGCGCTTCTCAAGGAGGCCATTGAGGTCTCTCGCGTCGTCAAGGACGAGTTCGAGGTGGCCATGATCCGCAAGGCCAACCACGTCTCCAGCCTGGCGCACAAAGCCGTCGTCGAGAAGGCGAAGAAGGCGTCCAACGAGATGGAGCTCGAAGCCGTCTTTTTGGAGCGCTGCGTTGCCAACGGCGCCAAGAACATGGCATACCACCCCATCATCGCCAGCGGTACAGCTGCGGCGACCCTTCACTATGTCGCAAACGATGCTCCGTTGACAGGCAAGCAGAACCTGCTGATAGATGCTGGCGCCGAGTGGAACAACTATGCGGCCGATATCGTGAGTGATGCTTTTTTTACACTCCTTGCAAATGGTCAGTGCGAATAGGAGAGTAACCACGTTTTACAATTCAGACACGGACGTTCCCCCTCAACGGCAAGTTTACCAAGGAGGGCCGCGAGATCTACGACATCGTCTACAAGATGCAGCAGGAGTGCATCGCCGTCATCAAGGCCGGCATGCACTGGGAAGACGCCCACATCCTGGCCCACAAGATTGCCATCGACGGCCTGCTGGCCCTGGGCATCCTCAAGGGCGACAAGGATGAGATTTTCAAGGCCAGGACGAGCCAGGCCTTCTTCCCCCACGGCCTGGGCCACTACCTGGGCATGGACACCCACGACACCGGCGGCAACCCCAACCGCCAGGACCCCGATGTCATCTTCCAGAACCTGCGTCTGCGCGGCCAAGTTCCCGCCGGTGGTGTTGTGACTGTCGAGCCTGGTGTAAGTCTCTCCGATGAAGATTGATAGTTGCATTGAATCTCACACCTCTGCAGGTCTACTTTTGCAAGTTTATCATCGACCCCTACCTGGAAAACCCCGAGCACAGCAAGTACATTGACGCAGATGTGCTCGCCAAGTATTGGGATGTTGGCGGTGTCCGGTAAGCTAATGTTTTCGTCTCCTACATTGCGAAACCAGTTTCTAACTCGAGTGCAGCATCGAGGACAACGTCCTCGTCACCGAGACGGGCTACGAGAACCTGACCACGGCAATCAAGGAGCCGGGCGAGTTGGAGGCCCTCATGGCAGCTAGCTAGAGAACGCCAGCAAATAAGCCGTTTGTATACAAGGCGTCCAATCTGAAGAAACAAAGAGAAAAAAAAATAAAAAGAAATGACCCCAACGATGATTTCAATCTCGCTCTGTGCGCACTAACTCACATATACGAGATTGCCCCAAGCTGAAGGAGGTGTGCGAATTGTGCTGACGCGTACCAATACGAGTCCACCATCCATCACAGCCTTCACGACACACTGTGCAAACTTTTCTTGCCCCTGTCCGGCGGCAGAGCCCAATTGCAGCCGGACAAAACCCAGCGAGTCCGGCCAAAGAAGCGCCCCTTTGACGGTCCATTTTCCGGGCGAGCCATTATACTTACACGTACTCCGTACATATACCATCTCATTGGGCCCCATTGCAAATCATCAGACACAATGCATGCAATTTCATGACAACGAAGGGCAACTGATCAACCCGTCCCTTTCACCCCTTGCATTTAAGTTATATCTACTAGTTGGTCATCTACCATGGCATCTCCTGGCATGGGACACACGCGTAAGCCCGTTCCCGTACGGCGGCGGCCCGTCCCACCGCCAGGATACGACCACCAGCAAGACATCTACGACTTGTACGCGGACGAACCGCCCTCGCCAGCAGGTCCATCCCTTTCATCTCAAGCATCAGCAGCGGCGGCAAACACACATGCCCAACAGCTGAGACCCAGCAAATCAGCCGCCAATCTCAAACAAGATCTCGCGGCCCCTCATCGGGCTCACCCCCCTTCCGTTGCCCGCTCCCCGGACATCACCACCGCGGCCTTCCCTGCTCCTGTCGGCGTCATGGACTATGAGAATCTGCCTCCTCCGCCGCCTTATCCGGGCCTCCCCGTTTCCCAGCCTCCGGAATTGCCCCTCCGACGCGCCCAAAGCTCGTCCGCACTGCCCATCGGAGGAGGGCCACCGGCCGGCTCCCCTGGTCCGCCATCACCAGGCTTCTCACCACATCCCCCACAGGCCGCAACCCTCCCAGTAGAATCAAAGCAACAAGACTCCATCTGGAAGTCTGCCCTCGGAGAAGCCCAATACTTCGCCTCGGGCCTCATCTCCCATCCCTCAGAATCCACCCGCCACTACTCCATCATCAGACACACCCGCGCCCTCATCTGGTACTCCGGCCCCTCCACCTCCGTCTCCATCACCATCCTCTCCGACGAGCCCCTCCCTCCCACACGCACCCTCTGGATGCAGCAAAAGGGCTACTCGGGCAACATGGGCATGGCCCTCAAGGCCCTCGCCGGCACGACCTCGTCCTGGATCAACGTCACGCCCGCGCGCCTCGCCACCGTAAACGACACACCCGAGGCAGACGAGCGCAGCATCCAGCGCGATCTCAAGCGCTTCGCAAAGAAGGCTTCAGGGAGACAAAAGAAGCACGTCCCCCGCGAGACGCACATCGTGCGCATACCGGCCACTGCATCAGATGGGTACTTTCGCCTCGTGCTGTGCGGAGGAAGTGAGGCAGGCAAGAAGGTGCTCTGCGGGAGTCCCATCTTCAGGGTGGCGAGTACGTCTGCCGATGTGAGCGTCGTCAGGGGCGCGAGCCTGAGTACCATGCCACTGGAGATGGGCGTCAAAGTCGCAAGTACGATAGGCCAGGCCATGGCGAACAAGTACATTGGCGTGGCGAGCGCGGTGGTGAACAGCCAGGTCGGCAGCATCGTGACGAATTCGACCGTCAAAAAGGTCAGCACAGTAGCTATCCAGAGCTACCAAGTTTCCGGCGTGGGAGATGCCGTCCAGGAGAGCTGGCAGAGGCAAAGAAGCCAGCAGGAGAGATACGACTCGCTCATGGTGAATGTGCCGGTGATTCACATGGTTGGTTCAGAGACCGGCCCTGAAGCGCCGTTCCCAGTCAAGTTTGATGGAAAGGTCGTTCTAGGAACGGGAAGATCAATGGCAGAACTGGGGATACCAACGGCAAATCTGAGTGGTGTTTCGGATCAGGTGAAGCTGCGTATGGGAGGCGTTTTTGCGGCTTGGGCATGTATACAAATACCCAGGGACAACAACGGCGAGTCAAACGCAGTGGTGGATGACATGCTGCCTACAGACTGGGTCGAAGCTGTCGTCACTATAGCACCGTCCAGGCACGCTCCCCCTTCCGTCGCCATGAAGAACAGCGTCACAGTCCACATCATCCACGACTTTGAAGAAGCACACTTCATCGACGCCAAACTCAAGGTCATCCTCATGGGCTTCCTCCACCCAGCGGCTCCTCCACACAGTCCGCCAGACCATCTCGCAGCCGAACACTCCCAAGATGTGATGAACACGCTCGCCAGTCTTGGCCGCGCAGCATGGGGCCCGCACGACACGGTGGCCATGATGAAGAGCGTCAAAAGCAGCCGCAGTCTCGGGGAGAGGCTGGATGACACAACGGGTAAGGTGGTGGCGCAGGTGGACAAGATTCCGCTGCATTGGGCGGGCGTAAGGAGTGAGGTTGGGGTTTTGCAGGATAAGGCGTATGGGAATGGGGGGATGTGGATTGTGAGGTGATGGCTGCTGGACGGTTCATTGCGTGTAAGTGCTTCGAGTGTTGCATTGTGTATATATCTGGCAGATCTTGTTTATTTGGAGCATTGAGCGGGAATGATTGGCATAGCCTTAAATACTCTATAATATCTAATACTTATCACGAAGCGTCTACAGTTTTAGAATCACTACTCTCGCAAACGCGAATGCCCATAGTTTCCTACACAATCATACCCCTCAATCTGAAGCCCGAAAGTTGCCAAATTCGGCAACTTGGACACGGCAAAAGCCGGCCTCCGGCAAAGCTCCGGCTCGGCCCATCGCTTTCGATGTACTACTCCATCCCGCTGAATAATTCTCAACTCTCCATTGCTTCAGCTTTTAATATCTCTCCACCATCGAACCTCCAAGCAATCGCAACTATCTACCGAATCAAGATCACGTTGCAACAATGATTTGCTCCTCCTGCCGCTCTGCGCTCCGTCTGCGCCTCTTCGCGGCCGTTCCGCGTCCTTCCCAGACGGCAATTGCGCCTATCGCAAACACCTTCAAGACAACTGCTGCCAAAGCTTCTCCTCAGCGCATGCGATTCCTCTCCACGACTACATCTCGCCAACTCTCCTCGTCGTTCGCCAAGCGCTCTTCATCGTCTTCTTCCAATGAACAAAGAAATGATCAAAGCATATACGCAGCCGCGGACATGACGGAGGCGGAAGCATCGATCGCGCTTATCCTCGCTTCGAAGCTCGAGCCTACCTCCCTTCTCGTGCAGGATATATCGGGTGGCTGTGGGAGCATGTATGCGATCGACATCACGTCGCCTGCTTTTCGGGGGCTCAATATGCTGAAGCAGCAGCGACTCGTGAATGCTGCGCTGGGCGATCTTGTCAAGCAGTGGCACGGGGTGCAGATACGGACGAGGGTGCCGCCGGAGGATGAATCACCGAAATAGTCAAGCGAGGGCCAACTGGATGAATAGAGAAGAAATAATGAATCAGGAAACAAGTAAAGCGGACATCCTCGTCGCGTCCATGATCACCGCAAACGATCACGTCTTGCTCCAGGTTTAAGAAAATGCTCTCAAGTGTCGAATGTCCCGCTTCCCCACGTCACACTTCCGTCCTCCTGTACGTTGATTTCTTCTCCCGCGATCTCTGCGATGATGGGCGTTCGCTCGTTTTCTCGGATCGATCCCTTGCACCACGCCGTCGGAGCAATCCTTCCAGCTCCTGATTCCCGGCTTTCACGGCATACCACAGAGGTGTCCTTCCCTGGTTGTCTTTCGAGTTCACGTCAACCTTACCGGTCTTGAGTAACAACCTGGCGACATCATATGACGCAGAATAGGATAGAGGAGTCCGACCGGTATCATCCTTTGCTTCAATGTCCAGTTCCTCGAAAGTGAGCAATGCTCTGACGGTTGACCTGTCTCTCAACTCCGCTGCATAAGACAGCGGCGTGCGACCTTTCTTGTCTGCGATGGACAAATCGACCTTTCGACAATCGAGCAATTTCTGTATTATATATGCGTCCCCGTTCTCTATCGCACGTGAAATTGGCGTTCGACCGTCATTGTCTCTGGCGTTAGTGTCTAGGCCATGGTAGTTGAGTAGTGCTTTGACGATATTTCTGCTTCGGAGCTCTATTGCAGAGGACAGCGGTGTGCGCCCTTGGTTGTCCTCCATATTTGCGTCGACTTTACCCGACCCAAGCAAAATGTGTACGGTGGGTTCGTCCGCCGAGTGTATTGCATATAATAGTGGCGTACGTCCTTGGTTATCTCGCGCATTGGCGTCCACCTTGGCATCCTTGAACATAGCATCGAGGACACTCCTAGGAACGCCTTGGTAAAGTTCGTCACCATTGGTGCCTGTGTCGAAAGTTGTACAGTCAAGCAACATTCTTATGATAAGACTTTTGCCTGTGTTCAACGGCATATCGTATCGGCGTGCGTCCCTGGTCATCTTTCATGTTGGCATTTACTTTGTTGCATTGGAGGAACATTTTGATCGCAGACCGTCTGCCCAGCTCGATTGCATATCGGAAAGACGTACGCCCTTGATCGTCTTTTGCGTTCACTTCCTCCGCAGTTGCACATTCAAGCAGTACGTTAAGCGCAAATTCGAATCCGAAGTGAGTCGCGTACTGTAACGGCGTGCGCTTTTCGTCATCTTTCAAGTTGAGGTCGACTTTACCGCTCTTAAGTAGCTTTTTGAGTATAGATGCTTCTTTTGTGCAAATGCCAAACAGAAGTCTTCTTTTGAATTCAACGTTAACGTTGGCTTCCCCGGAGTCCACATGAGACTTTGAATGAAGTTCGGATTCTTGGGTCATCGCATAGATCAGCGGCGTGCGTCTCTGATTGTCCATTGCATTGAAGTCAACTTGATCGGACTCGAGCATGGCGTCGATCGCTAATTCATCTTGCCGTTCTATGGCATTGAATAGCGGCGTGTATCCTTGATCATCCGTTGCATTGACGTCAACTCTTTCAGAGCTCAGGAGTGCTTTCAGGATTGTTTCATCTCGACCTTTGTGGTCCATGGCATATCGTAGCGGCGTAAGACCTTGATCATCCTTTTCGTTGGCGTCCACTTCCTCGCAGTCGAGTAGTATCTTGACAAGCGATTCTTCTGCGCGTTCTATTGCATAGTGTAGAGGCGTGTGGCCCTGGTCGTCCTTTGCGTTGACGTCCACCTTGTCAGAGTTGAGCAATGCTCTCAGGATGGATCCATCTTCATCTTTGTGATCTATCGCATATTGTATCGGCCTGCGACCCAGGCCACCCTTGTCATTGCCGTCCACTCTTTCACAGTTGAGCAGAGTTCTGACGATCGATTCCTTCTTGCTGTCTATTGCGTATAGCAGAGGTGTGCGGCCCAGGGCATCTTGTGCGTTGACTTCCACCTTTTCACAGTTCAGCATTGTGCTCAAGATTGAGCCATCTTCGTCTTTGTGATCTATCGCATGTTGTATTGGCGTGCGGCCTTGATCATCTTTCTCATTGACAGTCACTTTCTCCAGGCCAAGCAGCAGTGGGACAAGTGATCCCTTTCTGGTCTGAATTGCGTATAGCAGAGGAGTGCAGCCTTGGCCGTCCTTTGCATTGACGTCCACTTTTGCAGAGTCTAGCAATGCTTTCAAGACCAATCCATCTTCGTCTTGGCGATCCATGGCATATCGCAGTGGCGGGAGGCCCTGGTCATCCTTCATATTGGCATCCACTTTCTCAGACTCGAGTAATGCCTTTAGAATGGATTCATCTCCGCGTTCGGCCACATGTGATAAAGGCGTGCGACCCTTGTTGTCTTTTCCGTCAACTTCGGCTCTATTGCAGGCAAGTAGAACACTGACATTCCCAAGCCTTTTTCCCAAAGCTGCGATATGCATCAAGGTCTGCCCATAAGCGTCTCGATAGTCTGTTCTAGCATTTTTATCGAGGAGCATCGTCAGCATTGAAGAATCGTCTTTTCGAGCGGCATGAGCTATTGGGGTCAATCCGTCGTCGCCCTCGGCTTCCACATTTGCGCCCTTGTCGAGAAGTATTCGAACGGCCTCCAGCGATTGCCACTGAACAGCAATGCCGAGTGCCGTTCTGCCTTTGAGATCTTTGGCTTCCATGTTGGCGTTGTTGATGAGAAGTAAATTGATAGCATCTTTTTGTCCGCATCTGCTGGCGCAGATCAAAGCCGTGTCGTTGTCACTGTCCTTGGCCTCAATGTTGGCGCCCTTCTGCAGAAGCAATTGGATAACATCTGTATGCCCTCTGACAGAGGCGCCAATTAACGCAGTGCCTCTATAGGAATCTGTTGGAGCCTCCAAATCAGCCCCTTTATCAAGCAGCATCTCCACAATATCTTTCCTCCCCTCCTTAGCTGCAAACACCAATGGTGTCGGGCCAGGTGAGTATTTTTCTGGCACTCTAAACTCCAACCCAGAGCCTTTTTCGATCAAAAATTGCACAATGCGCTTGTTCCCCTTTCCAATGGCTAGTAGTAGTGGGGTCTTTTCATGTCCATCTACTTTGTCCAAGGCGGCTCCTTTCTCAACCAGCCATTCGACCACGTCATCAGCACCATTGACGATGGCCTCAGTTAATGGTGTGTATTTGTCCTTCATCGTCATATTGATGTCGAAGCCATTTCTGAGAAAGAACTCGGTGGCACCGTCAAGCTTTTCGCGAAGCGCTATGGCAAAAAGGACTTGATTGCCGTTATCGGTATTGTTGATGTTTCCTCGTTTTCCCATGAATTCACAGTCCAGGTTGTCGTTCTTCCTTATCATGGCAACCAAGAGAGGTGTCAGATCGTTGATGTCCTTTGCTTCGTTATCGGCTCCTTTTTCAAGGAGATACTGTACAATGCTCTCGTGTTTGTTCAAGGCGGCCAACATCAAAGGCGTCCTATTGATGCTATCCTTTGCGTCAATATCGGCCTCTCTTTCAACAAGCCATCGAACAGCGTTTATACGTCCGTGCTTTGCGCCTAGAGCCAGTGATGTTTGACCACACTCATGATATCGAGCCTCGATATTGGCGCCCTTTTCGATGAGCAGATCAAAAGTAGCTTTTCTCTCGAGCATCACCGCAAGATTCAATGCTGTAAACCCGTTTTCGTGGGACTCTATCGAGTATTTCTCGAGTAGCACCTCAACAGCCGCTGTGTGGCCCATAAGAACAGCTAACAACAATAGCCCGCCGGCCCCATATGGCACTTCATCCAGTAGGTCGACGTTCGTGACCTCCAAGAGACGCTTTATGACTCGAAAATTACCACCAAATGTGGCCCAATCTATGGGAAGTTTATTTTCCGAGTCTTTTTCGTTTGGGCTGTATCCTTGGGAAAGAAGATGTACTACCGCTTCGTGCAGACCGAAGAAAGCAGCGATATGCAGTGGTGGCGGCTTTGAGAAAAATGATTCCTGATTGGAGGGTTCGGTGAAAGGTTTGGCGAAAGGGTTGGCGAAAGTGTCGGCGAAAGGGTCGTCGGGTAAGCTGAAGAAAAGATCGGGAAGATCTTTACTTAGTTGATAGGCGATAAGGTTCAGGTACCCCGATCCTTGATCTAGAAATTCAATCACTTTAGAAACTTCGAAGTCCTGTTCCAAAGTTTCATTCGTATGGCATGCCCAATTCTCCTCCGAGTAGGCGTAAAAGGGGAAGTCCTCAATTCTCTTAGCACGGTCGTCCCATGACATTCGAGGCCCATTTCGAAAATTTGTAAATGACAGATATGTCAGGCACACGTTTGTGATACAAGTCTGTGCCTTCTGCATCCACCGGTTGTCCGGACGTTCAAAGTATTCTTGCGCAGTGTAATGGACCAATTCTATGCCATCTCCCTCAACGACGACCAGCGAAGCGCAGGCTTGGATTATATGGTCGACAGTTGGGATGTTGTCTTTATCAAGTTCAGATGCGCCAATCTCAACAGCAAGTGCTTCTTGAAGCTCTGCTACTTTCATTTGCCGCTTTGCCTTGACAATCCAGGAGATGATCAGAACCGCGTCGCGAGCTAAATCTCCTTTAAGTTGCTGTATTCGTTCCATGGACTTGTCATACGCTTCATCCAAGACGCTAGACCTATCCGAAGAAGATGAAGAAGATGATGAAGAGGAAGCCTGCTGCAGAGAACTGAGTGACTTTCTGAGTGACGAGAGGGATCGTGAGCCGACGAAGGAGTTCAGATAGAGCTGGGCAAGGAGAAACCTAAGAATCGAGGTCAGTTTCAAAGCCACTTTGAATGTCACTATGTACCATGATACTCACATTCCACCCATAGCCGCTTCGATAGCGGATTTAATCTCATCCTGCAGGCCCTCATCTTCTCTAACAAAGGATGGAAGCTCAGACATGCGAGCATTGAGAACCTGAAAAATGTCGTGACGGCTGGGAGAAATCTCCCTGGAAAGAGATCCTTCAAATTTGGCTGCAATGGTGTTGATTGCTCGAGATGTCGCAAAAAGGTTAAGCCCGCTCCTCTCTTGCATCATGAAAATATTGTCCAACAGCTTTGTACGCTCAGTATCTTCAGCTTCATCGAGAGCATCAATAAGAATGAACACTTTAGAGTAAGACTGAACAAGAACCTCCAGGGTGTTGGATAACTCAACCAAAAAAGGACGAGTGTTCACAAGGCTATGTCGATCATACAGCTTTTGCACTGCTTCGGGAAAGGATCTCGAATTCTGCGCCAGTTGTTTGACAAGGCTTGCAAGCATATGTTCTGCTTTCTGATCGTTGTGCCGTTTGAAGTTGTAGTAGATGTAAACCACACCGACCGAGCCATCATACCGAAATTTCTCGGTCAAATAGTTGACTAAAATGGCCATCTGGAAAGTTTTGCCAGCTCCCGGAACGCCTTCACAGAATAGCGTCTGTTTGCTAGTCGAGATCCAACTTTGAACTTGCTCTGAAAGAAGAAATTCCTGGCCCGTGTCATGTGCGCATCTCGCAAAGTAGTCGTGCTGTATGAGCGGAAAGTCTAGAGGACTCAGCCAATGGAGAGCTTCGATCCGCTTCTTAGCCTCGTTATCTTCACACGTCTGCTGTCAGCCTGATTCTGGAGGAGATAGAGTTACTGAAGCCATACCATCGCGAAAGATGTCCAGATGCTTCTTGGTTTCCAGGGACACGTCATAAAGCCGTTGTACATCTTGCTTCACTACTCGGAACATAGTTTTAGATCCTGAGCTATGACAAGTGAATAAATCGACATTCAAAGGGATCACTAACCCTCATTCATCACATCCCTGATGGGCCGCTCGCCCTCAAAATCGCTGGGTTGAATACAACCAAGAAGCTCCTTCGCGAAAGCCGCTGCCACAGCAGCAGCATGCTCCTGCCAAGCGTTGTTCTTGTGCGAGTCGCAGTAGTCGCAGATGCCTCGAATCACCAAACAGGGGAAGTTGTTCATGAGACCGGCCGCTTCTGTCTCGAAACAGAGAACTTCTCCTCCGAGTGCGCTGTTCAGCTTCTCTCGCCGTAAGCCGTCTTTGATGACTTTGTTGCCAGATGCGATGAGACCGTGGTGAACTCGGATTGATCGACGCCTCTTTTTGATAAGCTTGGACTTATCGCAGAACTGGCATGGATCACCGTCTTCATCCGATCCGTTTTCAAATTCCTCCTCCACAGATACATCCACGACCCCACCCGCGGGACCCTCGGTGTTCATGTTTGAGAACGGCTCTTTGACATGAACATAGTCAGTTTCAAAAAGTAAGTCTTGATGCTTGTCAGACTTCAAGTACTTTTTCGCCAGCCTCGGGAATCTAGCCTTGAGCTCCTCGAGGAAGTTGGGGATCTTGGACCCCATTAGCTCATTTTCCGTCTCCAGCTTGGCCAAAGCTGTCAACAAAGCACCAGGCGGATTACTCAACGCCCCAGTCCTCTCAAAGCCTCCTCCCTGTGTCTCTTTGCCAAGATCCCACTGGACGACTCCAGGATATTGGCCGGTAGGAGTGCTGACGACAACGTCACCAAGCCTCACTTTTGGCGGGACGCCGCCTCCGATACCAACCATGAGACCAATCTTGATGGAAGGGAATGTTCTGATCATGAACGCTGCCACATTGGCTGCCGAGTTGGTACCGTACTGGCCTTTGGGCAGGCAGGCTATCACGACGTTGTGAGGGCCGATTGAGCCGAGCGTGTAAGTGTTGGCATCGTTCGTAAGCTTTGGCAGGTCTGCATGTCTCTCGTCCAGCATCGCCGTCGCCGCCGTTTGTTCCTTTGGGAGGGCACAGATCCATCCCACGCTGTAGTCGCCATAAGATTTCTTTGATGCCATCATGTGCCAGAGATAAGATGCGATCTTTCAGAAGTGCAAAGCGGCCTCCAGAGTGGCAAAGCTCAATTCCCGGGGAGCAGAATGCGAACCCCGGTGTAGGCGAACGCGTGGAGGCGAGCAGAACAGGTGCCCTCTCCCCTCCAGAAGATGTATGAAGTGCTACTTTTTTCAATGTCCTTTTCGAAAATAACAGTTCGGATTACATATCGTTTCAGATCAAAGAGGAAGTAGAGTTGAAGGGGAGATGGGAGCCTGGTAGGGCAGCAATGAGGCTGAACTTGGCATCCACGTACCACCGGGCATCAAGGGCATCAGCCAATACCATCATGAGGCGTGTTACTGCGCATTACATGCGTTTAATATCCCATTCGACCAATTAGATATGAAGATCTGTGTCACTGGACAATGTCAAGATGGTGTCAGTGAGCTGGCACGATACAAGCCCAACAGCACAAGGAAGATATCCTGCTGATAAAGGATGCAACCCGTTCAAGTAGCTGTATAATCCGTGAAGTTCAAAACAGGGAAACAATAGATGGTCGATTGCCAGAATCTTCCGAGTAGAAAAGACAAACATTGCTGCTACATTCTCCCTGAGTCACTCCTCCCCACACCAAGTCGCGCCCAAGTCGCCCCCGGCAGCGACAATGAGAAGTCGAACATAAGAGCGACCCTGCTCCAGATGAATACATCCACCACCAATACATGTACAAACTCCATGTCCCTTGTTCACACCAACTTCTGTATCCCAGCAGCTGAATTTAGAGAGAAAGACATACATACATGTCGGATACAGCCTATTGATTCAAGATACATACGTCCATCACATCGCAAAATAAAAGTCTTCTCACAGGCTTCCCATGCTCCCTTCACGCCGCAAAGCTCACAATGTTCCGCACCAGAGGGCAGCTGATGGAGGTTTCGTCTAACCCGCCTCGTTCAGCTCCGTCAGAAAGCTCTATCCACTTCCTCCTAACGTAATAAAGAACATCTGTATAAAAGAGTGTACCTGTATTCTAGTAAAGTGGTTCGTATATGGGAGAAAGGGCATCGGTAACTATGTCTGCTACCAAGCTCTTCCTCGTTCTATCCGCCGGGCATATACAATTCGCCAGTTTCTGTCACACATCAGATTGCATCAAGCTTGAAGAACATTGTTGAATTCATAAAGCATTAAGGATAAACGTTACACCCGCTTCTAAATCAAGTCCCCCTCTTCCTTCTCTATCCTTTATTAGATGTATACCCTAGATTTACTCCTTCAGATACTTGAGAACAGCCTCCCGCTCCTCCACAGGCATAACGCGCAGAACCTCGCGAATGCCCTTCCAGCCAGCCTTCTCGTTGCTACGAACCACCTCGGACACCTCAGAAGCCAGCTTATCGGCCTTAAGGGCCTCCACCTTCTGGCCGATCGATTGGGCCTCCTTCTCATACCACTCAGCAACCTCCTGGTCCTTGCGGTCCCAGCCGGCAATGCCAGACCAGCTCTCCAGCATCTTCAGACCCTGTGCGCGAGCCTCCTTGGCCTTGGCGGTGTTCAGCGCAGGGGCCGGCAGGAAGCTGGGGTTCATGCGCTTGAGGATGTACTCTTCGTTGAGACGTCTGCGCAGGCGCCAGTAGAAGTATCGGCGGGCGTTGATCCAGTCCAGGGAGTCGCGAATGACACCCTTGGCCTTCATGCGGCCAGCTCGGTCGTGCAGATCGGCGAACTGCACCGCAATCTGCGAGTAGATGGGCAGCAGCTGCTTCTCGCGAATCGAGAGCTGCTGCTTGACCTTCTCCATATCCTCAGCAGACAGGGTCTTGTCCTCCAGCTTCTTCTTAAGCGAAGCGTACGTGGGATCCAGACGGGCCATGGTCTCGAGCTGCTTGTCCTTGCGGTACTTGATACCAATCATACCATCGGGCTCAAGGACACCACCGCGAGCCTCCGTATCGGCGTACATCTCCATAGCAGTAGGGTTGATGCTAGGATCGACGACGACCCAAGAACCACCACGAAGCTCGCCAAAGGGAGGAATGTACACAAAGATGGGCTGCTCGTACTTGACCAATGCGTCAACAATGAACGAACCGTACTTGAGCACCTCGTTGTACATGTCGCGCTGACCGCCGGAGAATCCACGCCAGTTGGCCAGGATCATGAGAGGAAGCTGTTCGCCGTTGTTGAAGTCGTTGATGGCCTGGGCAGTCTTGAAAGCAGAGTTGGGATACCAGACACCACCGGCTTCGTTGGTAATCTGCTCAATGGAGTCGGGGTTGGCGGGATCAGCAGGCGTAATGTTCTCAACGCTGCGAGTCTCGACGGCGATAACACCCATGGGGATGCCGCCGAGACGAGCGCGACCGACCACGACAGTTCGGGCCCAGCCGCCAAGGGCCTCAACAAACGAGTCCTTGTCGAACAGACCGCTCTGGAAAGAACCGTCGTCGTCCTGCTTACCGGCGATCATCCACCGCACATCATAGGGCTGCCTCTGTGGCGGGCAGTAGGTGATGTCGCGGTCCCAGCCGTCGAGGCTTGGGCTGACGGGAACGGGGCCGCCGCGCTTCTCGGGCACAAACGCCATCCACTCCACAATCTTGGAGACACCCTCAAAGTCATCGTTAGCAGTCATGTGTGACACACCGTTGCGGTACATGATCTGAGTGCCACCAAGCTGCAGATTGGAGGAGTACACCTCACGACCGAGCAGGTTGTTAATAGCGGGGGCACCAGTCAGAATAATGGGCTGGCCTTCGATCTGGACAGCACGCTGACCGAGACGGACGAGGTAGGCACCGATACCTGTAGACAATCATGTTAGTGATACAGGAAACAGATATCAGCATATGTGGAAAACTTACCGACTGATCGGCAGGTGACCAGAGTAATGGTAAAGATGTCGTTGTAGGCCTGGCTGGTGGCACCGGCAATGAGACCGGATCCTCTCAAGCATTCAACACCGAGACCATCCTCTCGTCCAATAATGGTGACAATCTTGTATCGCTTCTCACCATCCTCGACCACTTCCTCGGTAATGACGTCGTCCTTGAAGAGCTCCTTGGTCTTCTCATCCAGGTAGAGGTAGCGGAAGCCGCCTTCGGGCTTGGAAGCATCGTTCCAAGCGACCTTGAAGTGAGGCATCAGCTCGTTGGCGAGACCCAGGCGGGCACCAGAGTTGGCCGACAGGTAGATGCGAGGAATGCCGAGCTTGCGAGCCAGCTGCGTGCACTTGTAGAAGAAGTCATCTTCCTTGGGGCCAAAGGATCCAATGTTGTACGTGATGTCGTTGGCGACAACAATGAAACGGCGGCCGGCAGGGTACTCTGGGGTCCTGGCCTTGATGATCCATCCAACCATGCCGCAAGTGTTGGTGCCGGGCTCGCGGTTGACCTCGTCGAGGTTGTCCTTGTCGTCGAGCACCAGCTCGGTGAAGGTAATACAATCACCGACCTTGGGCTGCTGAGACGCCAGAGCAGGCTGTCTCTTGACAGCCTTGACCCAGCTGTTCTGGATGGCCTGGCGGAACAGCTCAGGGAAGTCGTAGACGTACTGCGTGCCCATCAGGTGGGCCTTGTATCGCTTGGGCTGGAGCCAGTTCTTGGTGGCATAGGGCGTGGAAACAGGCAGCAGGTGCAGAGGGCCCTTGTCCTTGGTTCCGCCAATGCTGTGGAAGACCCAGTCGCCCTTGTCGGACTTGCGCTCAGCGTACAGGTCGACATCGACGACGTAGCCAGAGGTGTTGGTGATGGTGACACGGAGGGGGTAAGGGATGCCCGACTTGGGATCGGTGCAAACGATGCGGATCTCCACCTGAGCAACACGCAGACGCCAGGCGCGGGCACCGAAGCGATCCAAGAAGCCTTGCAGGGACTGCTCGACGGTAGCAGGGTCCAGCTGGAAGACGGGAGTGAAGTTCATGAAGATGTGGTTGAGATCAGAGTTGTTGTTGCCAATGATCTCGAGGGCGTCGAAGATGTCATTGATGACGCGGTCGGCCTCTGAGATGAGGTACTCGGCAGTTGGGATCTCATCACGAAGGCGGCCAGGTCGAATCACGGCACGCGTGAAGTAGCGCTTGTCGGACTCGACGGTCTTGCCAACAGCCTCGTACACGTGAATGTTCTTGTTCTCGGTGAACATGGGCTTGATGCGGAAGTTGGCAAGACGAGCGAGCTCCAGCTGGAAGGACAAGGCGGGCTCGCTATGACGGATGCTGTCATCTTCCTCGTAGTCGGGGCCTCGGAACGTGTAGTAGCCGGGGTAAGAGCAGTCGCTGTGGCCGCAGATGAAGGTCAGACGGCGGACACCGCGGATCAGGAGCTCGCTCTTGAGCTGCTGGACGATGGGAAGGATGCGTGCGAGGGTCTCGGCATCGTCTCTGCTTTCGGCATCTCGAACAGCCACGTTGATGACGGCAGACAACTCGTCGCCGTTGTTGCGGCTCTGGAACTCCTTTCTGAGAGCGGCGAAAGGCTTCCGCTTGCCGCTCAGATCAGCGAGAAGACCAGACGTGCTGCTCTGCCTCCGCTGCTGGTTGTAGAACGTCAGCGTCTCCAAAGCCTTCTGGAGCATGTCCTCGGCGTCGTCAATGTACTTGACGGGAACAATGATACCCTTGCGGGACGGGCCGTTGTCCCACTTGCTGGTGAGGTAGGACATGTCGCTGATGGAGTTGATACGCTTCACGTTGGGCTCAGACTCGATGGGGGTGCCGGGGGTAGAAGGAGCGGCGGACTGGATAGGGACACCGAACTCGGTGTGTCCAATCTTTCGCAGCCGGAAATCCCAGGAGAGGTAGAGGGGGTTATCAGACTCGTCGTTGTGGTACTCGATCTGCTGGAGAACGTAAGCACGGTAAGCACGACGGACGTAGACCTCGAGGGCAGCCAGCGAGACCCAGGGATCATCATGAGCGAAGAAGGATGTCAGCACATCGAAGACGGTGTACTTGGAGTCGACAACCTCCTTGATCACGTCGAGGCTGGGCTCACGGTGGTCCCAGCCGCTCTCG